TCCCAAAAATGACTGTAAATAAATAGTTAAGGAGGCTAAATAGAGAAGTCGAGCTGCATGTTTGGGCAGCTCCATGGACTCAGCTAAGGGGTTTGTGACTCTAATGTAGCTAGTGTCTTCCAAATTTTGATTTAAGGTACTTCTTTTGGAGCATTTGAAAAAAATAACTGCAGATGTAGATGGTGCATTTTGGAAAAGTTTTCCATTATGTCATGGACATTCTTGGTAGTACATATCTTATTTCCCAAGGTAGTACATATCTTATTTACAAAGACCAAAAAACCTTGGTGAAATCTTCTGAAGTTAGAAGGCTGTAATTGTTCACATACTGATTTGCAGATGACTTATTATAAAATGTCATGTAGTGCATGATGAACCAGAAATGTTTCCAGACACAATGTAATTCCTGAAGAATTTTAATGCTTGACATCTCTGCTTGTCTCCCTCTAGCCCTCTATCCCCTGTTCCCCCCAATTTTCTCCCTTGTTACAACTGAAGGAAATAGGTGTGGATGATTAGAAATGGAATAGGAAGAAATAAGTTACTTCAAAATGGTTTGTAATAGTGAAGTTTGATTACCATTGAGCTTAAATAACTGTACTCAGAGCGGATATAAAAGAGTTGTTCACGGAAAAGGGTAGAAACCATGAGGATTTCTGAACACCAGGATGTGCAATTTCATGGAGAAAGGGCAGATTGGGGATATTGGAGAATAACAAGGGAAGAGAAGGGCATAGTAGGGAGATTTTTGACATTGATATTCCATAAGCCTGTTGGCAAAATTAGAAGAGCTGCAACCATTTCCCTCCTGCCTACTTACCCCATTCACTGTGACTCTCATTTCTGAGTTTAGCAAGAAGTCATGGCATTTTTTGGAATATTCAGTAAAGTGTTTCCAAGTGTATATTACTGAGTAAATACTTAGTTCAGAGCTAGGTCTCAGGTTTCTATACTGTTCCAGAAAGTGTGACATTTTTTGCACTAAAGGAAGCAAGACTGTAGGATGAGGGATGTGATACAAGGATATTTCAACTGAGATCTCACTTAGGGGTGGGGTGTGATTGAAGACGGAATTTTCCAAGGTCAGTGGGGTCAATGCATCTGCACTCTTAACAACACTTGACCTTGATGCTCAGGGTATTAATTATGAAGACTGTCCTTTCATCAAAGGCCCAAGTAAAAACTCTGCAGTAAGAAAGAAGACAGAATTCTCATTTATTGGGGAAACGATGTTACAGCGTGTACTTTGAAGATTTATGTGATCCAAAAGTGACGCTACATGGTGCTAATATCAACATCATCATACCCAGGGTCTTCTTGTCTCAGGACCAGTGGGCATCCTCTCTCCCCCATGCCAGAGATGGCAGCTTCTCTATGAAACTGCAGTGAGAGGCCTGCAAGGTGAAGAAAAATCTAGTTTCAGTGGTGAAAATAAAAAGAATTTTTTGGTAGAAGTAGACGAGTGCACAAAGACTACAAGGTATCTGTGAGACCGAGCAACTCTCTGAAAGGTTAAAGCTGCTTCTTCCACTCAGCTACTCTGTGCAAAGACGTGTCTTGCTCTTTACAGTTGTAAGGTATTGGGCCAATGATGGTAAGGACTAGAGACGAGAGTGAAAACTATCACACCCACGTGGTCTGATTTCATTAGGAATGGGGGCAGGAGGTGACTCCCCTAGATTCCTCAATCTTGGTGACTGAGGTACACCACATCAATACCAGCCCAAGCCAGACCCAGAAATCTTCAGAAGAACAATCTGGGTTCTTGGTCAGAGGACAAAAGGGAGCAGCTCAACCACATCCCATGGCCCCCTGCTCCTCAGGCCCCACGTGCTCACATATAATCAGAGGCCTAGTTCTAAGAAGGTGGTTTTTCATCTACAACTGAAGCAATGCAAGAAAATTATCTCTTAATTTCATTCTACAGCTGAGATATTATCACTCCAATTAGGGCCTTTGAACATCTGCATTAATAAGAGTTAATCCCAAATTTAAAGTTCTGGATACATGGTTCCCCAAACACATTTTTCTAGCTTTCAAATTTAATTGACACTGCTATTGAAACTTTCCAAAATATGGCCCACAAAATGAAAAAGCCCCCAAATTTATTGTCAGATCATATTTCTTAATTTGGAGAATGAAAAAAATGAGAATAAAGCCTCTGCCACTCATAGAGGAATGTCTGTATCGAGATGATGGAGGAAATGGACATGAGAACACAGGATGTCTCCTCTCAGAAGAGATGAAATAGACAATATCCAGGCGACACTACATCCAGGTCTAGAGGGCCCCAGATGTTGATAGTGAAGATAAACTGACTATTGACATGTCCAAATTCATTCTTCCCCAGACAAGGAAATGAGGCTACTGGAGACAGAGCTGACACTCACCTGGCTGGGAATACCCTGCACCACCGTTCTCCTCCAGGAAAAAATAATTCCTACTCATTCCTCGGGAAGTAGGAATTTCAGGAACAGGAAACTCTTCAACATCATCATAACCGTCTCCCGTGGCTCTGACAGGCTGTCCCAGAGGCTCTGGAAATGGACAAGGACTGAGGCTGGACTGGGGGGTGCTCGGGCCCTTCTACAGCAGAGATTCCAACAGCTGATACGTAAAAGCTCTAGAGTCCAGGGCTGTCTCTGGCCCTGGGATCAGAATATATTTCATCTCAATATTCTCAGAATTATTTGATTCTTCCACATATCCTAATATACTTTCCTAACATGGCCTCTTATACCATAAAGCATCAAAAAAAGCTATTGTGATATGAAACCAGGTACTACATTCAAGCACATGCTATGGAGCTGTAAATATAATATGTACAAATCAGTGTCTTGGAGTGAAAATGGATGAAGAGAACCCACCTGCCCACATGCCTGTGAGTCTGTGGGAAACACAGAGCAGGCAGGAGAAGGAATCTGGGTACCTCTCACTCCAGACAGGCGATCCCTTGTCCTGCACTAAAGGGGGCCTGGGCTTCACTAAACTGATCGAAGGATGCTTTGATATAAGGTTCCAATTTTAGGATCCCTCTGACATGTCTCAAGTCTCATGCCCAGAGCTATCCATCATCACCATCTGGGGAAGATATAGGAGAAAAATTCTCCTCTCTTAAGTCCCTTGTTAATATGAGCTTCCAGTGGCTGGTAAGTACAAGCACCAGTAGTCCATGGTTCTTTTTTTTTTTTTTTTATGCATACAAGAACTGGGATAAAGGCCAGAGGTGCAGGGGTGAAAGGATTCACCAGAGACAGAGTGGGAACAGACCAGGCAGACTGACTGAAACACACTGCTAAGGGGAGCAGCAGGCTAGACAGGAGAGGTCTGCAGGGCCTTGTGAGTAGCTCCTTGGCTGGACAGGAATCGAACTCATGCCGCAGAGGCAGCGGACAGTTTCAAAGTGCTGTGCTTAACCACTTGTGGCACCAGGGAGGTCCAGTCCATGTTTTCTAAGTCTTAGAAAAATCAATTTTGGGGGTCTTGCTATGTACATGACCCACCAACAACACACCATCTCCTGTGCAAACCACACTTCCCAAGGCTCACCATGGAAATTCTCAGAATGTCAATTTTAGATATCACTGAAAAAAATGCCCTTTGTGTCTATAAGAATTAAATGCATGTCTGCAACAGATTAGACGTAGCTGTGGATACAGAGAACTGGGTCTGATATTTTCCTTTGTGAGGTGACAGAATGGAGAGAGAGCAAATGGTTTTTGTGATAAAGACAGAAGAGAATCCTCCCATCCTCATCACAGAAGTTCTCTTCAGAAGAGATTCCTGCTTCTCATCCCCGCAAAAAAGGGAAAATCTGTCTCTCCTTCCTGGGGCAGATCCAGGATCTCCCTTCTCCTCACCCTCCCCTGTGTAATACAGCAACTTAGTCGCTGAGTCTTCAGACAGGTTTCCTGGTGGGGGGAGAACATCACAGACAGAAATCTTTTGCCATAGTAGGAGGCCCAGTGTCAAGGTTCAGAAGATATGGGGCTTCAGATTTGTAGGGAGAGGGCTGGGAGTTCCTGCTTAGGGAGGAGGCTGAGAGGTTGAGTCTATAAATGTGAAGGGAACCCATGGTCAGCTCAGGAACAGTGGGGAAAGCATGGGACACACCTGGGCTGTCCAAAAGGTCCTCCTTTTCCTGTAGAGCATAGTTATCAATCTCCTGGTACAAGGCCTCATCTATGACATCTTCGAAAGCAGGTGAGGCTGCAGAAAATGGCACAACATCAGAGAAAAGTCCTAGAGACAGTCCCCATACAACAGACAAGGCACATGGTGCTCTCCCATGCCCAAGGGGTGCCCTCTGGGCTGCCAGAGCCCCTTTCTGAGCTTTGTGGGACAGAAACAGCTTTCCTGACATTGATTGCGAGCCTATATTCAAATCCCAATGACATTGTTTCCATAGTAAGTCATAATTCTTGAGAGGTTTTACATTCAACCAAGGATTCAGCTGTCTCAAATCTTGAAGTCTACTGTAGAGAAGGTGCTATTTGCCAGACTGTGAGGGTGGAGACAATACTGGGGCACTTTCCTTGGTATCATAACTGGCTCAACACCTTCCCACGAATTCCCTTTAGCATCCCCATGGCCCACCTTGGTGCTCTGCTCTCCCTCTGTGCAGCTGAATCCCCAGGATGACCAGGACCAGGAAGAGAAGGGCCCCCAAGACCATGCAGACGATCCCAGGCAGGGAGAAGATGCCCAGGCCTGGAGCTGAGTTTGATCTGCTGCCTGAGGACAGAAGAGGGCTGTGAGGTTAAGAGAGGGTTGTAGGTCCAGGAGAGCCCTTCCCCACTTGCCCTTGACTTGCTCATCCACTGAGTCCTCATCCATGAAGTTAGCACTCAGATCCAATGCCTGGGCCTGAGCCCAAGATGTGCCCATATAGATCCTGCCCTGAGATGTGCCAGTTGTCTTCTGCATCTGTTTCTAAGGGATTTTTATAAAGTGAAGTGGATGAAGTTTTGGAGCATTAGAGCTACCAGAGGTAACAGGACTGCGGTGCCTGAGCATGGGCCTTTCCTGTGCTGATATGATAATTTTCCAGAATTATGTAGATGCTACTGCGCAGATCCCTGAAAATGTGTGTGTGCCTCTATCCGTGACTCAGAGAAGAAGCACCTACTTCCAAGGGTGGGCTGGATTCTTGTCCTCTCACCTGGAGAGAAGGGGAGAGAGAGGTCAACTACTGAGCTGGGTGGGAAAGCCCCAGGTCACACCTACCACTCTGGCACCTTGTTCTCTCACAGCTTCCAAGGCATCAGGCAAAAGCCACAGGTTGCCAGGCCCAGAGCAGCACGTGAATCCAGGAAGAGCCTCTAGATGCCAGCACATGTCCCCCAACAGGGTTGCCCACTCACCCGAGCACCTCACTCCCGCGTCCTCCTCATGCTTGCAGTCGCTCTGCCCCCAGGGAGCCGCAGGGCACTCCCACAGGGAGGACTCCCCGCCCCTGCACCGCACCTCGTCCAGCCAGATGCTGCCATTTCCAGGCCCAAAGGCCGCCGCCCGCGGGGCATCCAGCGCCGAGCCACAGCCCAGCTGCCCGCACACCACGTGGGCCTCGGCCAGGCTCCAGGAGTCGTCGCACACCGTGCCCCACGCCCCCGCGTGCCACACCTCCACGCGGCCCGAGCACGCGCTGTCTCCTCCCCGCAGGCGCAGCTTCTCCCTGTCTGCAAGGCCAGGGGACCCCTGTTAGGGCCCTGCTGGAGGAGGAGCCCCAGGGGCAACGAGGAGCTGGGAGGGGGGCTGATGTACCTGTGCAGGGGGCTGCAGATGGACAGCTCTTGGGCTTCCTTTCTGTGGAAGCAAAGGATGAGTGTTGGGTCAGAGACAGGAGGGAATGCTCTTGCCCCCAAACAAGGTCTGATACAAGCAGTGAAATTAATTTATCGTTGTCTTGTCTGTCACTCTCCGTGATCCACAACTAACACACACACACAGATGCAGCTCTGCTAGAGGAAAGACCCTGCACATCTGACCCACATCTGTGCTCCTGCTCTTAGCTCAGTGTCTGGTGCCGCACAGGCCTTCATTCAACACATGTGAGTGTAGAAACTTCTGTGAGCACTGGGGAGAGGGGCTTGATCAATCGTGCTATATGAATGGATGAGTAAAATCTAGTGAAGTGTAGTTCCATTATTATTTATGAGTAAACTATTATAGAAAATACAAAATCATATCAGTGGTCTGTGGTACTAAAAAGAAGATATTTATAAAATAACTCTGGAATCACAGAAATAATTCATGTTCAACACGCTACTTACATTTTTTTAAAGAAAAATTACATAATAGGGGGTCTCCCTGTTGGCGTAAGGGTTAAGACACAACCTATGAAGCTATTCACATCCTCTGCAGCATTAATTCGATCCCTGGCCAGCCAGGGTGCTACCCATGGCTTCGGCCAGCCATGGAGCAGCAGAACTCTCCTGACTGGCCCACTGCTCCCCTCAGCACTGTACTTCGGTCAATCTACCTGTACCCTTCCCCACTCTATCTCTGGTGAATCCTCTCAACTCCCCACCTCCACCACATACGCACACCCATACACACCTCTGGCCTATACCCCAGCTCTTGTATGCATAAATAAATAAACCTTTTAAAAAATTACATAACAGATCAACCAAGAAAACTGGGATTCGGATCACTCTTAGAAGTGAGTAAAGCAGGGCCTCCCCGGTGGCGCAGCGGTTGAGCGCTGGGTTGCGAAGCTGCCCGCGGCCTCTGCGGCGCCAGTTCGATCCCCAGCTGCTCCCCGGCCACCAGAGGAGGGTCCCGCATGGCGCGCAGACCTCTCCTGCCGCCCGCTGCTCCCCTCAGCAGTGTCTTCGGTCCTTCTGCCTGCTCTGCTCCCCCCCTCTGGCTCTGGTGAATTCTCTCACCCTCCCGCACTTCTGACTGTACCCCAGTGCATGTATAAACAAAACAAACAAACAAATAAAATAAATAAATAAATAAAACATGCCTCTATTAAAAAAAAACAAAAAGAAGTGAGTAAAGCAAAAAGAAAAATCTGGAGGCCTAAGGTCTCTGCCCTCTCAGCAGTGACAGTCAAGAGGATAAACCAACTCCCCCCTGAGAGAACTGTTTCCTTGCACCTGCCCATGAGAGTTTGGGAGGTCTCCGCTCTGCTCCACTCTGCTCTGCCTTCCAGGGTTCCCTGCCTCGCTCCCCCTATCGTCCATCTCCTCTTGCCATGACAGAATTTTCTCAAAACCCCATATTTCACTGACCAGGATCATCTTCCCACCTCCTCCTTAACAGGACTCTTTCTCATCCTTCCTCTCCATCAAAGCAGGACTTCTCCTCTGGCCCCATGTACACCCTCCACACATTTCCTATTCCTCATGGAGAGTTTTCAACCTGGGATTTCCTGCTCCATGAAGGCAGAGATTATATATTCTCCTTCTCTGTCCTCTGACTTGGAGTGTAATTTTGATTCTATAAGACATGGTTTACTCTCTGAGGGCAGACAGACCAGGAGTCTGACAAGTACAGATGCATTTCGATGCAAAAATTCAGGAGCATATGAGACACAGAGCATGGGGACCTGGGCCTCACTTATTCAAGTGTTCAGCATAGCATTTAGCTAGTCCTCATTCACTAGAGTTCCTCAGATGTTGATCAGAGGATTATTCACACTCCACACAACCTCATATAATTGATCTGGTTTTTTTCACATGACTACTGTCAGTACAAGTTTTCTTATATTTTCCTCTGAAACAGGATTAGAATAAACAGATTAAATAATTAGCCTATTCATTTTAAAGACCTAACTTAAACTCATAAGCTGGATTTGAAAATAAACATCACTAGCAACAGCATACGAGTGATGACCGACACATACAACAGTCACCTGCACACGTGAGAGACGCTTCCTCTCTTGAAGAGCACGAACTGTATTTCCAAGGGTCAGAAGGACACTGCCAGAGAGATGTATCAGTTTTCCTACACTGGATTCCATCTACCCACCGGGGTCTAGACCCTTCCCTAACAGCAACCAAAGAGTTGAGGGTCCCGCTGTCCCCACAGCCAAGCTGTCTGCAGATCACGGACAAGGTCATGGCTTCCATGGGGCTGCTGCACACACTGCCCCAGGTCCCGTTGTAGAAAACTTCCAGCCACCCAGAACAGTCCTGGTCCTCGCTCACCATCCTGAGGGCCAGGAACTCTGAAGGAGAAATGGGGAGACAGGGCACCATGAGCACCCCTCTCAGCGCTCTGGACCCTCTGCAAGGAAGAAACACTGGATGCTGCTTCCTGACAAAACTACAGAATCTGCTAAAGCAGGTGTGATTGGGGTGGGGGCAGATAACTCCACCAAAGATGTCTGCATCATGATCCCTGGAAACTATACATATCGTCACCTAACATGTGCATAACACCTTGCATGAGAAGAGACTGTGCAGATGGGGCTAAGTGAAACCTTGGAAAGGAGAGATTAACCTGAACACTGAGGGTTAACCAGGTGAGTCAAGTATAATCCCTTATGGGATACACTGTCTGTAAAAGTGGTTTTGGTGAGAGAGAGAGGTGATTCTGGAGAATGGTGAGAGGTGTATACACTGCTGGTCTGATGACCAAGGAAGGGAGCTCTGCTGAGAAGTGCAGACAGTTTATAGAGGCTTGGAATTGATTCCTCCCCAGGACTTAGAAGTGATGCAATCCTGCTCACACCTTGATTTTAACCCAGTGAGATGGTGTTGGACTTCTAAACTACAAGACTGTAAGATGATAAATGTAAGTTGCTTTAACCACTAATTATGTGGAAATTTGTTACAGGAAGTAGAAACCAGTAGAGTGATCAAGATTCTATATTGTAGGTAGCTGAAGAGTGAGGCCTGCTTGCAAATGAAAACTCTATGCCGTGGCTCTGTCAGGAGATGTTGCTTTGAAAGGACAGACCCTCAGCTGCCACAGGAAGGAAGGAGGTACCTAATCGTCATATGTGCTAGAGAGACAGAATCTCTGAAGGAAGCTTCCTACCCCTCTCTCTTTCAGACTCTGTGCTCAGTGTCTCCCCCACACCCTCACACTCTACCCCCAGCCCCTGAACAAGCTGCAGTGCAGACCTGAGCAGATGACCCCAGCATCCTCCTTGTGCCTGCAGTCATGGCGCCCCCAGCCCCGGGATGGGCATTTCCACACGTTGGACTCATTTCCTGTGCACTGCAGCTCCTCCAGCCAGATGGGCCCTGATCCTTCCCCGAAGTGAGCAGAGACCGTAGCATTGAGGGCCTCCCCACAGCCCAGCTGTCTGCACACCACATGGGCATCACGCAGGTCCCAGCCATCATCACAGATGGTGCCCCAGGAGCCCTGGTGAAGGATCTCTACTCTGCCGGCGCAGGGATGGCCTCCATCCACCAGGCGGAGCTGTGTGCTGTCTGAGGAGGGAAAGTAGGTCAAGGGGGCATCTAAACTGGAAGGAGAAGCTTTCCTGGTCCTGGAAGGCCCTCACCTGAGCAGTTGGCTGTGCCCTCCTCTGAGGCTGCAGAGCCTGCTGGTGGAGATGGGGAGTGGGTGCACAGGGGCATCACCTGGGTCTGGTTTCCTGCAGAGCAGTGGGGTCAGAGGGTTAGTGGGGTTGAAGAGCAGAAACTGAATTAAACTACATGATAACATAGTGGAGAGATCTGAGACGAACATTCTAACAAAACACTCATGGCATCATTATTTTACAGTTCACTTTCTGTGTGAAATTGTGCCCCAAAAGACCAATATTTCTGTTTTTAAGACAAATACTGAGAATCACTGAGAGTGAATTTAGAATTTGGTAATATAGCAATAGTGTTGAAGGATGGCAGAGCTTCCAGGACAGTGAGCATGTTGGAGCCAGATGCTCAGAGAGAAGCAAAGAACAGAGTTGAGCCTATTTCCCCTTGAGACCTGAGTCAATTCAACATTATAGATACATTATAGACGTGACTCTGAAAACCTCAGCAGAGATTTGGAAGCAAGAGTAGTAAAGAGGGAGATCATGGAGAATATAAGGAATAGAGCATAGGAGGAAACAGTAGAAAACATGAGAAGGGGCACAATAGATATGGTAAAAGGTTTAAGTTCCATATTTATGAAGTTTTAGATCCTTAACTACACAAATGAAAGAAGGAAATATGGAACATAAAAATCCACTATCACAGTGAGACATTTCAACATCTTGGTGCTGTTTAAACACATCCACAAAATTATTTGCTAAGATGTCCACTGAGCAGTGAGGTCTTTGCCTCATTCCCTTGCATCGCACTGATCTTTATTACTTGCTTGTAGGCAACATGATGCAGTGGAGGCAACACTGCTGATTCCCTGCACCAGGACAGAAAAGTCATGCAGGCTTCCCAGACCTTCTGAGGGCACGTGCTTTAGAGGAGCTACTCTGAGGAGCCTGTCTTGGGGAGAGGCCACAGGCAAAGTGCCTGCTATCCTGTCATTGGCATCCTGGTTCCCAGTTCAGGGAGCTCTGGCGTGACTTCAGCCCAGATAACTTCAGCTATGTGAAACCGCCAGAGAGAACTGCCACTGAGCTTCCCCAAATTTTTGACCCAGAAATCACAGAAAAATAAAGTGCATTTTTTTTCTGTCGCTAAGTTTTTGGGGAAAATTGGAAGCATAGCTATAGTAGCCAGAGCACTTATCATGAGACCTAAAAAGGAAGAGAAATGCTTTTCAACTAAATTTCTCCTGCAGAAAATTTAAAATGTGTGTCTGACAATAGATAAAACCTGGAAACAACCAAATGCCCCAAAATAGATGACTGGATCAAGAATATGTGGCATATATACACAATGGAATATTATTCAGCAATCAAAAAAGATAAACTCATGCCATTCGCAGCAACATGAAATTCTCAGGATACAAGGAACAAACTTCAACATCATAAAGGCCATCTATGACAAGCCCACGGCCAATACTATTCTCAATGGTGAAAAGCTGAAAGCATTTCCATTAAGATCTGGAACAAGACAAGGATGTCCACTCTCACCACTGCTTTTCAATATAATACTGGAAGTCCTAGCCAGAGCAATAAGACAAAAGAAAGACATACAAGAAATCCAAATAGGCAAGGAAGAAGTCAAACTATCACTATTCACAGATGATATGATAATATACATAGAGAACCCCAAAAACTCCACAGAAAAACTAATTAAACTAATCGATCAGTTCAGTAAAGTGGTAGGATACAAAATCAACACACAAAAATCAGTAGCCTTCCTATACACAAACAATAAATTTGAAGAAGAAGAAATCAAGAAAACCATCCCTTTTATTATTGAAACAAAAAAAAATCAATTACTTGGAAATAAATCTAACAAAAGAGGTAAAGGACCTATACAAAGAAAACTATAAAACACTGTTAAAAGAAATAGAAGAAGACACAAAGAAATGGAAAGACATTCCCTGCTCATGGATCAGAAGAATTAACATTATCAAAATGGCCACCCTATCAAAGGGAATTTACAGATTCAGTGCTATTCCAATAAAAATATCAAGGACATTCTTCAAAGAAATAGAACAAATATTGATGAAATTCATATTGAGGCATAAAAACCCCCAAATAGCCAAAGCCCTCCTGAAAAAAAAAAAGAAGAGAATGGAGGCATCACACTTCTAGATTTCAAACTATACTACAAAGCCATAATCATCAAAACTGCATGGTACTGGACCAAGAACAGACATACAGACCAATGGAACCGAATAGAAAATCCAGAAATAAACCCACAGATTTATGATCAACTAATATTTGACAAAGGAGCAAAGAATATGCAATGGAGCAAAGAAAGTTTGTTCAATAAAAGGTGCTGGGAAAACGGGGTCACTGCATGCAAAAGAATGAAGCTTGACTACTACCTCACACCATACACAAAAACCACTCAAAATGGATTAAAGAACTAGACATAAGATCTGAAACCATAATATATATGGAAGGAAATATAAACAAAACACTACATGACAAGCACCTCAAAAAAATCTTTACAGACATTCACTCAAAGCAGTGATAGTGAAGGCAAAGATAAACAGCTGGGACTACATCAAATTAAAGAGCTTCTGCACAGCAAAAGAGACAATAACCAAAACAAAGAGAAACACCACTGACTGGGAGAACATTTTTGCACACGACACTAATGATAAAGGACTGATCACAAAAATCTACAAAGAGCTGATGAGACTCAACAAAAACAAAGAAAATAATCCAGTCAAAAAATGGGCAGAAGAGCTAAAAAGAAACTTCTCCAAAGAGGAAATGCAAATGACCAACAGGCATATGAAAAAATGTTCAACATCACTTGTAATCAGGGAAATGCAAATCAAAACTACAATGAGATACCATCTTACACCAGTGAGAATGACACATATTAAAAAAAAAAAAACTAGCAACAACAAATGTTGATGAGGATGTGGAGAAAAAGGAACTCTCCTGCACTGCTGGTGGGAGTGCAAACTGGTCCAACCACTATGGAGAGCTGTGTGGAGATTCCTCAACCTACTAAAGATGGAGCTTCCATATGATCCAGCAATTCCACTCCTAGGGATTTACCCAAAGGACACAGAAACATTCATTCAAAAGGGCACCTGCACCCCTATGTTTATAGCAGCACTATTTACAATAGCTAAACTATGGAAACAACCCAAATGCCCAAAACTAGATAACTGGATCAAGAAGAGGTGGTATATACACAATGGAATATTACTCAGCAATCAAAAAATATAAACTCATGCACATTTGTAGCAACATGGATGGAGCTGGAAGGGATCATGCTCAGCAAAATAAGCCAGAAAGAAAAAGAAAAATACTGGATGGTCTTGCCCATAGCTGGAATTTAGAAAACCTAAATAAGGGACCAGAAAAAAGACTAACCATAATAAAGAAAAAATCAAAATCAACAAGCAACTATAAACCAGAGATACACTAAGGGGGGGGGGCAGGGCAAAATAAAAGGGGTGCAATTGTATGGGGAATATAACCAAAATGAAAACGCATTCATTGTGCAAAAATGAAAAATGATGTAAGAATTATATAAAATAAAATATTTTTAAAAAGAGTACATGGGTTACATTTGGACAAATATTTGTATCTATATAACCCACTCTTCACTCATGAACCAGTTTTCCCACATGCCCTGCTCTGAGGGACCCAAGCACCCAGATCAGTACAGTTAGTGCCCGCCTCTCACCTGAGCAGATCACAGAGGCTGTGTTTCCAGGACCACAGTCAGGAGCGCCCAGGGCAGTCATGGGGCAGTTCCACAAGGAGGACTCAGCCCCTGAGCAGTGAAATCGGCCCCTCCAGACCTGGTCAGCTCCTTCTCTAGAGTGTGCTCCTTCGGGGGTGGACAGGGCCACTCCACAGCCAAGCTGCCGACACACAACGTGGGCATTGGCCAGACTCCAGAGGGAGGCACAGAGTGTTCTCCAGCGTCCAGAAACACTCATCTCCACCTGTCCCTCACACTGAGAGCTGCCGTTGTTCATGAGCTGTACTTCTGTGTATGCTGGAAGGAGAAGACAAGGCTTCAGCCAAAGCTTATGTGTTTCTTACCCCAACATAGAAGGCAGGGAGGGTGAATCTCACCTGAGCAGATGACATGAACAGCCCTATGGTGGTGGCAGGTGCCTCCAGGACAGGGCACCCTGGGGCACAGCTGGAGCAGAGGCTCCTGCCCATCACACCAGAACTCCTCAGCAAAGACCCATCCACCTGACTCTCTGAAGGGCACGCCCCTCAGCACAGACACAGCCTTGCCGCACCCCAGCTCTGCACAGATGACGTGGGCAGTGGGGGATGTGAAGTTCCCATCAGACACTGGAGTCCAGTCTCCTCTGGAATGCACTTCCACTTGCCCTGAGCAGGGCTCATCCCCTCCAGCCAGACGCACAGGAAATCCTAGAGAAAAGAAAAGTGAGTGTTCACAACCCCATAGTTCCACCACCAAATCACCCATGCAACATCACATAGACCCTTCTCTTCCCTCCCCTGTTTTTACCCTCTTACCCCCTCTCCTGCTGTGGCCTCAGATCTATGGTCAGTTTTCAAGTTTCCTCATTTCTGTGACCCTTTTTACAGTTTTTCTGTATCCCATATGTAAGTGAAGCCATCAAATATGCATCTTTTTCCCTCTGAATTATTTCCCTTAGCCCGAATCCCTTCCAGCTCCATCCATGCTGCAGTAAACAGCATGAGTTTCATAGGAACATTTTACTATGTGGGCAAGACTGGTATTATTAGTGAGAAGTAGCATTTTAATATTCTAATAATTCCAACAATGTTCATCCAAGGTAAATAGAATTTTTTCACTACATAAAAACACCCAATACTTTGGCGACATTTGTGTATTTATTGGAATGTATATGCAGTTTCCACACAACTGAGGTCCAGGGAAGAAACTGGCTGACCTGGACCTCCTCCCTCAGCTCCTGACAGGCCCCCCTGAAGAGAGTGAGTGAAATGTCAGGTTGAAGACTGGGCTCTCACTGACAGCTCCTGTCCAGCTCCTTGTCCATTTACTGGATATCATTGCCACTGATCTGACCTTTAAAAGAAAGGTCAGGATAAGGTTCTAAAATCTCCCTAAGTAGGTGAAATGGCGGAGGGGGGGGTGGGGAAAGACATTTTTTTTTTTGTTTGTTTGTTTTTCATTATGTTTTTATTTTTTTATAGAGGTCTTTTTTTAATGTTTTATTTTATATAATTCTTACATCATTTTTCATTTTTGCATGATGTAAGAATTATATAAAATAAAACATTAAAAAAAAAGGCTAGAAGGGATCATGCTCAGCGAAATAAGTCAGAAAGAAAAAGAGAAATACCGGATGGTCTCACTAACAGCAGGAATTTAGAAAACCTAAATAAGAGACCAGGAAAAAGACTAATCAATACAAGGTAAAAATCAAAATCAACAAGCAACTATAAACCAGAGACACACTGTGGGAAAGGGGAATGGCGGGGGGAGGCAGGGAGAGGAAGGATTAAGGTCAAAATAAGGGGGGGTGCAATTGTATGGGGAATATAGCCAAAATGACAATGCATACATTGTGCAAAAATGAAAAAAGACAATTTTACCAAGGGCCAGTGAGGCTGGAATTAATCCATTTAACCTAACACCACACAATCCCAAAGAACCAAATAAGGAAAACTGAAGATAACAAAGCCCCATTATTTGCAATGTGTGCTGTGGAGAACGGGGCTCACATCTGGGTCATAAATTTTAAGAGATGCAGACACACTTAGTACCTCAATCAGAAGGATCAGAGGCACCCAGACCCACACCCAAAAATATATGGCACTTTTATTGATAAATATCAATGTGTTTACAAAAGAGACATTAACTGAAACAAAGATAAACCCCACTCATTGGGAAAAAAATCTTTGCACTCCATATAACTAATAAGGGACTGATCACAAAGATATACAAAGACTCACACAACTCAACAAAAACAAAGTAAACAATCCAGACAGGAAATAGGCAGAAGAACTTAAAAGACACTTCTCCTGGAAATGCAAATGGCCAACAGGCATATGAAAAAATGTTCAACATCCCTTATAATCAGGGAAATGCAAATCAAAACCACAATGAGATATCCCCTTACACCAGTATGAATGGCACATATCCAAAAAATTAGCAACAACAAATGTTGGCAAGGATGTGGTGAAAAAGGAACTCTTCTATATTGCTGGTAGGAGTGAAAACTGGTCCAACCACTATGGATTGCTGTATAGAGGTTCCTCAATCTGCTAAAATTGGAGCTACCATATGACCCGGTAATTCCACTACTAGGGATCTACCCAAAGGACACAAAACATTATCAAAAAGAGCACCTGTACCCCTATGTTTATTGCAGCACTATTTACAATAGGTTAAACCTGAGAACAACCCAAATGCACAAAAATGAATGACTGGATCAAGAAGATGTGCTATATATATACGATGGAATACTATTCAGCAATCAAAAAGAGATAAATTAATGCCATTTGCAGCAACATGGATGAGCTAGAAGGAATTATGCTCAGTGATATGTAAGTCAGAAGGAAAAAGAAAAATATAGTATGGTCTCACTTATCGGAGGAATATAGTGGAACGAAGTAAGACATTAGGGGAAAAATTAATAACAATACAAAACACAAAAAAAACAAACAAAAACAAACAGACAATTATAAACCAGACACATCCTGCACAGGAGTGGGAAGGAACATGGGGAGTGAGGAGTACAGGGGACTGAGGTGATGGTGCACAGGTGAATTGGTGGAGAAAATTCTATGGAGATTACACCTGAGTGGTGTGGGGAAGCAAACATTGTTTAAAAATGAACAATGATGTAAAATATACATAAATAAATAATTTTTTTAAATATCAATGTCTTTAAAGACATGTAAATAATACTGGAGATGCACAAGCACTTTCTCCTTATTTTAGCCCAGAGAAGCAGAACCCGGGATGTTCTGTCAGAGAGTGACTAGTTCAGGATTATTGAGTTGGTGATGTACCTGCTTTTGTGAATGTTTCACACTCCTGACAGCAGCTCCATGTCCCAGGTTCCTGCACAACAGCTCATCTTCCTTCAAGCCCAGTGTTAAGTATATGCCTGGTCCTCTTCCCTTGGTACTACACCGCTACTCTTGTCTCATAGGGGTGACCCCACTTTCCAATGCAGCCCATGTGAAAGAGAGACATCACCTCAGTCATAGGTGGGATCTCAGATCCAACCTGGGGAATCTATTCTCTATGTACAAATCTGAGTTGGGAGAGCCCCAATTTTTCACACCTCAGCTTCAGCTTAGGGTTGTTTTGGTCAGAGGACATTCCCCTCTCATTATTAAGGCCTTGGGTTTTGGTTTTCTCTAGAGAAGCGAGACAGCAAGTATGACCTGATTGGTTGTCACCACCTTTCTTTCCTTATTTCTTCCCCTCTGACCAAGATGTCTCCTCTGTCCTCCCTGCAGCTATGACTCATCTGCTTCAAAACCAACTCTCAAGGCTTCTGACCAGCAGCCTCGCCTGCCTCTGATCCTTCCAGGTACTCATCCATCCCTCCAAGCTCTCACACTTCTGTGGGAACAGAGCACTGGGTGCCTGAGATGTGGGAAATGTCTCCCCTGGATGTGGCATTTGGCCACCAGGGAGCCACAAAGATGAGGTATCTTCTTTGAACACAAATTCATCCTCCACCTTGGGACAATGGGCTGCCCCTCACCTTGAAAGCCAGAGGTGGTCATGGTGACCTTCCCTTCAAGGGTAGAAAGGGCAAGGAGAGTGAGTCATGGGGAGTCCAGAAATGGGCCAAGATTGAGCCTCTGATTGGGAAATGAAATGGAGACAGGGCAGCTTCAGAGGAGGCATCTCCAAGTCAGCACAGGTTTGCTACCTGGGTGGAGAGGCCATATTGAGATGCCCCTTCATACTGTTTGATTCAAAATACAATTGTCATTTTAGAGTTTGCCAATTTCTACGAACTGTTCTAAGTGATGGGAATGTGAATTATAATAAATCAATGTATTTCTTCAGGAGGTTACTTCTAGTAGAGGAAAAATAACCAGTAGACAGTTCTAAGACTTTTGAAAAGATTAGGAGACACCTTGACAACTAAATGCAAAGAGAACTGGTGCTTCCGAAGGCAATTTATTTATATGAATCAACCCCACCTCAGGCAAAATGAAAGTTGTGGTCAGATATGTCCTTGTCTGTCTTCATGCTGTAAAGACACCCCATGTCCTCAGGCACAGATGGCATCTCCACATACCCCTGCATCCTCATGCTGCTCAAGGAACCCCTTATGTCTCAGCACCCAGCATTCCCCTCCCTCCTAGCTACTTTAAATTTCTTCCTACTCCTTTGAAAATTGTGTTTGTCCCATCAATATATTCTTCTCAAATACCCAAATGCCATTCATTTTGAGGCCATTGAACAAAATAAATCTATGTAATTTCTTTCCAAAAAAACACACAGACTAACATTTTATTTCCTCCACTATTGACTTGTCAGTGCATGGCTACTTAACCTCCAAATTTGAGTTTACGCAAGTGTTTTGAAAGAAAATAGAGTGTATTCTCCAGTAGCAATGAGTGAGAATCTATGACCCAAATTATTTCATCTATAGCTTTTTGGTTTTACTGGCAAACAAACAATGAATATTTATGCTTAATTTTAGAAAGGAGACATGAAATTTGGCACAAATCCACACAATTCTCTGATTTATTCAGTGATAACCCCTGGATCTCTGCTCTTACTAACCTAGTTTAAAACCGATCTCTCACTATCCATTCAGAAGCAATTAACTGGGAAAGTGAATCCTCATTCTGTTCCTCCCACTAATAGTCTCACTGAACAAAAGGAGTTACTGTGGAGATTTACATAAGTTTATTCTTACAAAAAGTAAATTATAAAAGAATCGTGAAGATTGGTTTTAATCAGGATGATAATAGATTAAGTTGTTTTGTCAGGTAAAACCAATACAGAAGGAAGGATGAGCAGTTTCTTTAGGAGTAAAGACATTCATCGTTCACAGTAGCTTTGTGCCCTCAGGACTATGGAGAGATGGGATGTGTCTCAGAACTCTCTGGCCCATCTAACCCTGCTGTCCCAACAGACACCAGCCTCCTAGGTACTTTCCATTCCTTCAGCCCCTGAAAATGCACCACCATACCTGAGCAGATGACTCCTGCATCGAAGATATGAAAACAGTAGTTGTCTCCCCAGTGCCTGGACGGGCACTTCCACACGTGGGACTCATTTCCTGTGCACTGCAGCTCGTTCGGCCAGATGGGCCCTGATCCCTCCCCGAAGTCAGCATAGTCCGTGGCGTTGAGGGCCTCCCCACAGCCCAGCTGTCTGCACACCACGTGGGCATCAGGCAGGTCCCAGCCGATACCACAGATGGTGCCCCAGGAGCCCTGATGAAGGATCTCCACTCTGCCGGCACAGCGATGGCCTCCGTCCACCAGGCGGAGCTGTGTGCTGTCTGCGGAGGGAGTCAGATCAAGGGGGTGCATCTAATCAGGAAGAGGAAGGCTGCCCTGGTCCTGGGGGGCCCCTTGGCCAGAGCAAATGGCAGTGCGCCCTTTGAGGCTGCAGAGCCTGCTGGTGGAGACACAGTGCTGGCACTTGGGCAGCACCTGGTTTCCACAGCAACAAGCAAAACAGTGGAGTTGAAAATAGGAAAGAACAGGAGAAATGTGGCTGAAAACAACTAGTGAGCAGTCTGAGAGAGCAGGTGTGACCAGGTCCTGTCAGAGTAACCCTGATGTAGAGTCTACACGGCATCTGACAAGATGTCCCGAGATGTCAGAATCTCTGCCCTAAGCAGTTAAATGAGTGCAGAGTGGCTGTAGAGGGCTTGTAGCTGGTGGATTCCTTATAAATTACATCCATTTCCATGCTATTGAATAAAGGGAACTGTTGGAGCTTATCAGAAACCTCTGGAGGCAGCCAGGAGACCCATTCTAGTCAGAGCTGTTCTTGCTATTGTAATTCACAGCTGAAAAATGAAAGGACCATGAAACAGGACAAGATTTACCCAGAATATTTCATTTATGATTCTAGGCTCCAGAATGAACTCCTTGAGTAGATGGGGCCATCTGACACAGGAGATGATGTCAGATGAGACTAACTTGGCCAGAGACACTGGGCATCACACATCTGCTTTATCCCTGAAACAGTATAATCTCTACTTGAACTTCATGTCAGGAATTGCCATTATTCAAAATTTGGAGTTATTCAGTGTTTAGGAGAAAATATAATGTATCTCTAACCCCACCACGGATAGAATCAGGTTATATTCCTGAGCTGAAAACACTCAAACAGATTGACTTTTCAGTCAAATACAATTGCTGTATTGTTATTTTCTCCTTTGTATATACAAAAAAAAATTGCACTATAAGTTCAATAATGTGTCATTATTCCAATTTAAGTAAGGATGAAATAGAGAATAAAACCTAGAACTTCTAAAAATAAAATTAAAAAATATAACAAAAAATGGGGAAGTTGTAGGTTTTATTCTCCATTCCATGACTGACTTAAAGTAAGCACTGGCGCACAAGTGTGATATAGGTATTCTTGAGGGCCATGCCCATATAGCAGTTTCTCTTGCAAATATTTGCCCAGTGTACATGTTGTACTGGGCAGGAGGCCAAGAGCTATGTCAAAACTCTGGGAAAGCAAAGTTCCTTTATTCTCTTGGTGCTCAGCTACCAAAATATCCAGGCTCTCAGCTGAATTCTGAGTTCCCAGAATGCCCTTGCCACAGGCACAGGGACAAGCAGAGGTAGACTGATGTCACCCAAACTGCCAGCGAGGCTTGTTCCCACTCAATCTGGGTTACAGTTAGATATCTGGGTACTCAGCAGCCCCAGCCCCACCTGCCTAGCTGAACAGAAGATGATGCTTCTAGGTGTCAGAAAAGATACTGGAGTTTCTTATTTTTTCATACATAATTTTTAATATTAAATATGAAGTGACATGGCATGGAGAAAGAAGGGCTCACATGACATAGTGAAAAGGAAAGCATTATAAGAGAAGTTAGAAATACACATAGCAGATGAGAGCTTTAACTGATTCACGAATTTAGTAAAAAAAAAAAAAAAAAGGAGGGGGAGACAAGAACAGTTAAAAATTAAAAGAACTTAACATAGAATTGTAAATATATTAAAGATATCAAAGTAACAGTTGCCAACTGAAGAGGAGGACAGAGACAGAACAGTGAAGTAATATTTGAAGAGATAATGGTTGAGAATTTTTAAAAAATGGATGAAAGCTGTAACCCACATTTTCAAGAAGTTCAGTGAATATCAAGGAAGATATGAAAATTCCAACACCTTGTAAATCTGATAAAAATCATAGCAAAAGAGGAATATTGTTGTTTAATTAAAAAAAAAAGGCCTAAAAAAGAAGAGAAAGGGCGTGTAGAGCCGGTGAGTCAATTAAGAGTGAATGGTACATATTAACAATATCAGCACTTGTTTAAAGTAAATGGATCAGGTACTCAATTAAAAGCAAATCAAGATAAAACAACAAAATTCAAGTAAATGTTACCTGTCTAATATACAAGGGCAAAGAAATTTGAAAATAAAATGATGGAAAATATATATATACTATGGAAACATTGTCAAAACACACATTGGATGAGTATCCTTTAGACCAATGAAAAACAGTAGGTGACTGGGAAGATAAATCCAAAATATTTCTGTGTCTCTGTGCTATGAGACAAGCCTCTTTAAAGCAGGGACTTCACATTCAGAAAGGATGACAGGGAGCGGCAGGTCCTGACTGCATGTGCCGAGCTCAGGGAAGAGCCAGCACTCTTTGGCACCTGATACCAGGGCTGCAGTTAAACAAGGAGATGGGGCAATTCGTATGAACTGATGCCTTAATATATGAGCCTGTGCTTGAGTCATATGCTCTTATGAGATGTTGTCTCTGAGGAGAAATCATGCTTGTCAGAGCGACATGTGGTTTCTTCTTGGTAAAATGTATTCATTGCTCTCACAGCAAGAGAGGCCACAATGGAATCAGCACCAATTGTGTATTTCATTTTCAGAATGCACTTCTACCCCTAATAACCTGCAAAATTTGCAAGGGACAGCTGTCCTCACAAAGGGTCATATCCCTAGAATGGAAGATTCAAGAAATGTAAGTGAGGAGCAGACTCCTATTGAGAGGAGAATTTCCTGAAGAAGAGAGAGAGAGAGATGGAGACTTCTGAGCAGAGAGAGTTGAAATCAGGAGTAAAGAGGGAATAGGGAAGGTGGGGAGAGGGAGGAGCATCTAGAGCAGCCAGGCCCAAGGCCCACATCTGAGAGACTGGCTGACCAGGATGTGCCAGATCATTGTCACATCAGGGCTCAACCCTGATATCTTGGACTCTGCTGGACAGGGCCCAGGGGAGAACAGATGCCATGCAGGGCTTGGCAGCACTGCCAGGGAAAATCCACCTAAGGACATTCACAAGCACAGGCCTCTTCCTCAACAGCAGACCATTAGGATGTCACAGACATGATTGGGACCACACTTGGGCAAAGAACACTGACCAAGATGGGATATCCTGGTCTCACAGGCCACAGCCCTCTGACTGCAGTGCTCATCTCAGTCCACCTAGAGGTACCTATATTTGGAAACAATTTTCGCTGTCCCATGGGGTGGAGGACCATGGAGCCAACAGGTAGGAAGGGAAACACCACAGGCAGGGAGACAGAGTCATGCCAGCACCCAGTGCTGGGGAAATGGCAGTAAAGCAGAAAAACGTTTGAGTTGTGGGTTTGTGGGGAAGAAAAAAGCAACTCGAATTTAGGCTTAGATTGCAGGTGCATGGTTATCTGGAGGTGTAATTAAAGTTTCTATTGGGAGGGTTTTCTTTAAAGGCATCCATATCTGCCCTCATCATAGACACCAAAACACATATCACCACCACCACCACTTCCACCACAATCCAGCCATCTGACTAGAGTGTGATTCTATGTACTCCTTTCTAGAAAGTTAATTCCACAGGCAGACATGCTCTGCCCACACATTTACCTTTCACATGCACTTTGAACTTCCCTTTTCACCTCTCTGTGTCTCTTGCTCTCGCTCCCATCCTTAGGCAAAAGGAGCAGAAACCAAGAATCATGTTGGGGAGACACAGTACTGACTGCAGGCAGGAATCTCAAAGATGCAGCCTCAGGAAGTCACTCTCATAATCCATTACAGGAAGACTGGGAAGTCATCAGACATTTTCTTTATTTTAGATGTTATTGGGGAGGACTGAACACAGATTCTGGTGAATCTGACAACAAGCTTTGAATATGGGCAACATCTCACAGCTGAACTTGAAAAGCAGAGCCCCGAAGAAAAAAAAAGAACATTTGCCATCACTAAAGATAACAGTGGGACAAAACCAAGTGGTCAACAGAGAGGAGTTGCCTTTGCAATCCCAGGACTCACCCCTAGAGCCTGAAAACTGATCCAATGTCTCTGCTGATCTTAGGGAGGGAGGCTCTGCTTACCTTGGGCGCTCGCTAGGACAGCAGAGAGAACAGCAAGTCCTGGGAGAAAGACGTGTCCATTCATGGTAGTTCTGAGCCTCATGTTATCAGGAAACTGCCTCAGTGTTCCCAAATATACAAAGAAGCCCTCAGTCCTTACTGGGGGCTCCCACTCCCAGGAGGGGCTTATATAGTCCCACCCCTTGTCTTTGTCATCTTCCGGGAGCCAATAGAAACCCTGTTGAACATTATCCCTGCATCAAACACTCCATAAATGGAAACTTTCTGAGGTTCAAACCCCAGTTAGATGCTCTATCTTAACTGTCTCCTTATAAGAGAGAAGAGTTTTCTGACATCAGGTGTCATCTGGCCCCAGAGCGGACACAGAAAAAATAAATTAAAGAAACATGTGTGACTCTTTCCTCGAGCCCATGGATCAGGTAAAGAAGACTTCTTGAGGTCAAAAAACCACTTATTTGGACCCTGTTGTTTCAATCAACTAAATGATAGAAATGGAGAAGATAACATGGTCAATTAGACCGTCCAATAGAGGTGGGGCTCAATAAATATTTGTTGAGTATAAAAAAAAAGAAGACTTTTTGTTAATGCAGCCTATATCTCCTGCGTCAATTGACCAACATTTTCTGGCTCTAATGAAACAAGAAGCATCCAACAGTAAGAACAAAAAGCCAGGTGGTTAGAAAACTGGGATTAGAATGCTAAATTCTAGGGGAAAAAAGAACTGAGATTGGCATTAAAGGAACATGGTCATTAGCCTCATGGGTGAAACTCCACTTTTTCCACTTCATCCCCATTTCACACTGTGGCAATCTGCACCCGGCAGTCTATATTGGTTAGTAAGGGGGTGCCCTTCTGTTCCAACATCCTCATTGTCAACATTTCAGTCCCTCTGCCTCCCCTTCGTCTTTTCATTCTCATATGAGCCTCTTAGTCAACTTTGTTATTCTCTCTGGCCTCCTTGAGGCCAAATAAGATGGTGTCATTGAAGTGCTTGGAAATGGAATCCATTCCACACAAATTGTTTTAGCTCACCCTTGCTGTCAACAAAACAGAGTTCATTATTTTCTCATGTAACAACTATTTTCATTAAAATATAAATGACAAGAGTCATTGTGTCTATTGAATGTGTATGTATGATACATTTGTATATGTGTCATCTATGGATTAGTGCACACATGGGTTCACACATTCCTGTGTATCACACACACGTCTATGCATAGTTTGGAGTGTTTAATGCTTGCTCTTTTATTTTCATTCTATTTATAGTGTTTGTTCATAAGCCAAGTTCTTAATTTTAATAAATTAATAAATGCAGTGTATCACGTTTTTCTCTTACACTAATTATTTCTCATAGACTTTAAAGAGAATAGTTTACTGTAGATTGCTTCCTGTCTGCATGTGACTTAGGAGCAGCTGACCACCTTATTGAAAAGAAACTGAGGCGACTAGAAACTGGGCCTCCATCCCTGTGAGGAATAGTCCACTCAAACTACTCTCCTTCTGTGGTAGGAGAGTTCTGGGTAACAAGCTCCTCCTCCTTGGCCTACTCTGAATTATACTAGATTTTCCCTGAGTCCTGAGTGTTGGCAAAATCTCTGCTGAGGTTTTCAGTGTCTAGTGATAACACTGGTGGACAAATTTCTCGGGGTGAAAGAGGCTCAGCCCTGCTCTTTGCTTCTGTCTGAGAGTCTGACTCCAAAAGTCCTCACAGCCTTGGGAGCTCTGCAACACTTTCAGACACTCTTGGATTATACCACCTCTCTAAGATCATTCTCAGTGTTTGGCCTAAATAAGAAACACTGGCATTGTCAGAGACAGAGCTTTCCACACAGAAGGTGAACTCTAAAATTAGGATGCCATGACTGCCCCATTATAGCATTCATCTCAGGCCCTACCACTAGGTTATCATGTAGTTTAATTCCGTTTTCTGCTCTTCAATCCAACTAAGCCTCTCACCGCACTGCTACAGGAAACTAGACCCAGGTGCTGCCCCTGTGCACCCACAAGCTGATCCTACCAGCAGTCTCTGCTGCCTCAGACCAGGGCACTGACAGCTGCTCAGGTGAGGGGTCCCTAGCACCAGGCAAACCTTCTTCTGGATTAGATGCCCCCTTGACCTGACTCTCCCTCCTCACACAGCACACAGCTCCGCCTGGTGGACGGAGGCCATCCCTGTGCCGGCAGAGTGGAGATCCTTCACCAGGGTTCCTGGGGCACCACTTGTGATGATACTTGGGACCTGCCTGATGACCACACAGACAGCTGGATTGTGGAGAGGCCCTCAGTGCCACGGTCTCTGCTCACTTCAGGGAGGGATCAAGGTTTATCTGGCTGAATGAGGTAAGTTTCCTGTGGGCCTGGGACTCCCTGGAGGCAGAGTGATTTAAGCAGGAAGACTGCAAAACACTGTCTTAAAAAAATAACATCTGGTAAGCATAATCTGACTATTTTAGTTATCTCACTTTGAAGTTTTAATCAGGAAATATTGAGATTCAGACATTTTGCTGGCTTATGCAATAAAAATGAAATATTTGGCCTAGAAAAAGACCTCTAGAACATGGAATATATGGCTCCTCTATTTAGAAACCATCAGACTTTCAGGTGAACAGGTATTTAGCTCTTACTTAACTACACTTTACTGTGATTTTAACTGATCACCTCACATACCCTGAGATCCCTCAGCTCAGAAGCCTTATGCCCAGGCAAGGGTTATGATGATGCTGAAGACGTGCCAATGCCTGAGGCTCCTTCTGCATCTGGGATGAGTGAGGGGGAGGTTCCCCTATAGGAGGAGAATGTGATGAGAGTCAGTCACTCAGACAGGTGAGTGAGATAGTTGATCTGTGATTCTTCACCTCTGCCCTGAGTAGGATGATTTTGGCATCATAAGTATATCTGAAATATGTGTTCTTAAAGATTTGTAGATGAATTGAGTATGTTTCCCAAATCACACAATGAAGTACTACTAGTAATATTTTTGTACTCTTTTGTATGTAAAATGTGGTTGGAAGATTTTTTTTTAACTACTGCAGCGTAAGAATTAATAGGACATTTGGGGGATGTGATATGGACTATGAACATATTTTAGCACTAATATGAGTAAGTCATTATGTGGTGGCTTTAAAAATAAAGCCCTTATGTTGGACTAAAAACTCAGAATTTGTGGAAGCAGCAAGCTGTTCTACTCCAGACATTTCAGTGGGCAGAGAAGACGCTCATTCTCAGGGAAGAAGCTTTTGTGACTATGGAACTGGGGACTGTGGAGAACAGAAGCTCATATGGTGTCTGTGGACTTTTGGGAACACACATCAAGGCCATCACCAGCAAAGTTAGACTCTCAGGAGGAGCTGAGCTTCCTTCTGGATCTGCTCTCCTATCTCCTTCTGTGCAAATTCAGACATGGCCGTTGGGAAAGGAAAAATTCTCACCTTCCTTTTTATGATTCTCCCTGTTCTTGGGTCATGTCCTTGCTGAATTGGTGAACCAGGACACAGGTCTTCATAGAACACCTCTGTGTGGCCACAGATCTCTGATGATTCAGAAACCACATTCACTGGGTGCTGAGAGGTTTTCCTGATATGTCCCTTGTTGTAACTAATTTGACATAGCCTGAACCCCCTGAGCGTTACTAGGCCTTCAGGGATGTTTTCTCATCACCATTCATTGGTCCCTCTCCTCCCTGAGCTACTGTCCTGGCCCCTTGTCACAGTTTTAATAAAATATCGCTTCACCACGTTAGACTCTTCTCTGCAGGTCACTAGTGGAGCCATTGATCCTGAGAAAGGGAGAGGCAGTTCCCAGCATCTCCCTGGGGAGAAAGGGGGCCCTGCACATGACGATGTTGAAAGATCATCCCCGGAGCATCCCCAGTACTTTTACCACAATGTTCTTTAAAACTGAGATGAGGCTACAGATGTTCTAAATGCCTGTATTCTAATAGAGCAGTAATGGCCTGTATTTGTTTATAAAAATTGCTCAACATTAAACATTCTGTATAAAGTACTTTTGATGTTGCTATTTTAGTAAGTTTCACCCTAATTGCTCTTACATTATTGGTCCTCAAACACACTTTTCTTCAGGAAATAAGTGAGTGACCTCACTGTTTCCTCACCTCCTCACAGGCCACTCAAGGTGTACTTTGCCCAGATTCACAATGTTCCAGGTGTCACTCCCTTAGCAAGGAACTCTAACTTGATCCCTAACTCTGAAAGAACCTGACCTGTTTAGAGAAAACTGACAGACTCCATATGCTGGTCCCGAAAATGACACTAAATAATTAGTTAAGGAGGCTAAAGAGAGAAGCCGAGCTGCACGTGTGGGCAGCTCCATGGACTCAGCTTGGGGTTTTGTGACTCTAATGTAGCTAGTGTCTTCCAAATTTTGATTTAAGGTACTGCTTGTGGAGCATTTGAAAAAAATAACTGCACATGTAGATGGTGCATTTTGGAAAAGTTTTCCATTATGTCACGGACATTCTTGGTAGTACCTATCTTATTTCTCAAAGTAGTTATTTTATGCCGGGCGTGGTGGCGCGCGCCTGTAGTCCCAGCTACTCCGGAGGCAGAGGCAGGAGGATCGCTTGAGTCCAGGAGTTCTGGGCTGCAGTGCGCTATGCCGATCGGGTGTCCGCACTAAGTTCGGCATCAATATGGTGACCTCCCGGGAGCGGGGGACCACCAGGTTGCCTAAGGAGGGGTGAACCGGCCCAGGTCGGAAACGGAGCAGGTCAAAGTACTTATTTTACAAAGACCAAAAAACCTTGGTGAAATCTTCTGAAGTTAGAAGGCTGTAAATATTCTCCATACTGTTTTGCAGATGACTTATTACAAAATGTCATGTAGCGCATGATGAACCAGAAATGTTTCCAGACACAATGTAATTCCAGAAGAATTTTATTGCTTGACTTGTCTGCTGTCTCCCTCTAGCCAACCCTCCCCTGATCCCCCCAATTCTCTCTCTTGTTACAACTGAAGTAAATAGGTGTGGATGATTGGAAATGGAATAGGAAGAAATAAGCTACTTCAAAACGGTTTGTAATAGTGAAGTTTGATTACCATTGGGCTTAAATAAATGTACTCAGAGTAGGGAATAGAAGAGTTGTTCATGGAAAAAGAGTAGAAACCATGAGGATTTATGAACAACAGGATGTGCAATTTCATGGAGAAAGGGCAGATTGGGGATGTTGGAGAATAACAAGGGAAGAAAGGGCATTGTAGGGAGATTTTTGACATTGATATTCCATAAGCCTGTTGGCAAAATTAGAAAAGCTGCAACCATTTCCCTTCTGCCTACTCACCCCATTCACTGTGACTCTCATTTCTGGGTTTAGCAAAGGAGGTATGGATTTTTTGGAATATTCTGTAAAGTGTTTCCAAGTGTATATTACTGAGTAAATACTTAGTTCAGAGCTAGGTCTCAGGTTTCTATACTGTTCCAGAAAGTGTGACATTTTTTGCACAAAGGAAGCAAGACTGTAGGATGAGGGATGTGATACAAGGATATTTCAACTGAGATTTCGCTTAAGCGTGGGGTGTGATTGAAGACGGAATTTTCCAAGGTCACTGGAGTCAATGTATCTGCACTCTTAACAACACTTGACCTTGATGCTCAGGGTATTAATTATGAAGACTGTCCTTTCATCAAAGGCCCACCTAAAAACTCTGCAGTAAGAAAGAAGACAGAATTCTCCTTTATTGGGGAAACAATGTTACAGAGGGTTCTTTGAAGATTTATTTGATCCAAAAGTGGCGCTACATGGTGCTAATATCAACATCATCATACCCAGGGAATTTTCTCAGGACCAATGGGCATCCTCTCTTCCCCATGCCAGAGAGGGCAGCTTCTCTATGAGACTGCAGTGAGAGGCCTGCAAGGTGAAGAAAAATCTAGTTTCAGTGGTGACAATAAAAAGAATTTTTTGGTAGAAGTAGACGAGTGCACAAAGACTACAGGGTATCTGTGAGACCCAGCAACTCTCTGAAAGGCTAAAGCTGCTTCTTCCACTCAGCTACTCTGCAAAGATGTGTCTTGCTCTTTACATTTGCAAGGTATTGGGGCAATAATGGCAAGGACTAGAGAGGAGAGTGAAAACTATCACACCCATGTGGTCTAATGTCATTAGGAATAGGGGCAGGAGGTGACTCCCCTAGATTCCTCAATTTGGGGAATTAAGAAACACCACCTCAACGAAAGTTGGGGCAACCCAGAAATCTTCAGGAGAACAATCTGGGTTCTTGGTCTGAGGACAAAAGGGAGCAGCTCAACCACATCCCATTGCCCCCTGCTCCCCAGGCCCCATGTGCTCACATATAATCAGAGGCCTAGTCCTAGGAAGGTGGTTTTTCATCTACAACTGAAACAATGCAAGAAAATTATCTCTTAGTTTCATTCTACAGCTGAGATATTATCACTCCAATTAGGGCCTTTGATATCTGCATTAATAAGAGTTAATCCCAAATTTAAAGATCTGGATACATGGTTCCCCAAACACATTTTTCTAGCTTTCAAATTTAATTGACGCTGCTATTGAAACTTTCCAGAATATTTCCCACAAAATGAAAAAGCCCCCAAATTTATTGTCATATTATATTTCTTAATTTGGAAGATGAAAAAAATGAGAATAAAGCCTCTGCCACTCATAAAAGAATGTCTGTATCAAGATGATGGAGGAAATGGACATGAGAACACAGGATGTCTCCTCTCAGAATAAATGAAATAGACAATATCCAGGCGACACTACATCCAGGTCTAGAGGGGCCCAGATGGTGATAGTGAAGATAAACTATTGACATGTCCAAATTCATTCTCCCCAGACAAGGAAATGAGGCTACTGAAGACAGAGCTGACACTCACCTGGCTGGGAATACACTGCACCAGCTTCCTCCTCTGGGGAAAAATGATTCCTACTCATTCCTGGGGAAGTTGGAATTTCAGGAACAGGAAACTCTTCAACATCATCATAACCATCTCCCGTGGCTCTGACAGGCTGTCCCGGAGACTCTGGAAATGGACAAGGACTGAGGCTGGACTGGGGGGTGCTCAGGCCCTTCTACTGCAGAGATTCCAACAGCTGACAGGTATAAGCTTTAGAGTCCAGGGCTTGTTCTGGCCCTGGGATCAAAATATATTTCATCTCAATATTTTCAGAAATTATTTGATTCTTCCACATATTCTAGTATACTTTCCTAACATGGCCTCTCATACCAGAAAGCATCAAAAAAAAGCTATGGTAATATGAAACCAGGTACTACATTCAAGCACATGCTATGGAGCTGTAAATATAATATGTACAAATCAGTGTCTTAGAGTGAAAATGGAGGAAGTGAACCCACCTGCCCACATGCCTCTGAGTCTGTGGGAAACACAGAGCAGGCAGGAGAAGGAAGCTGGGTACCTCTCACAGACAGGCGATCCCTTGTCCGATAGTACCAAAGGGGGCCTGGGTTTCACTCCTTTGATCTAAGGATGCTTTGATCTAAGGTTCCAATTTCAGGATCCCTCTGACAGGTCTCATGTCTCATGGCCAAAGCTATCCATCATCACCATCTGGGGAAGATCTAGGAGGAAAAATCTCCTCTCGTAGGTCCCTTGTCAATAAGAGCTTCCAGTGGCTGGTAAGTACAAGCACCAGTAGTCCATGTATTTTTTTAAATTTATGCATACAAGAACTGGGGTACAGGCCAGAGGTGCAGGAGGTGAGAGGATCCACCAGAGACAGAGTGGGGAGCAACACAGGTGAATCTATGAAATCACTACTGAGGGGAGCAACAGGCGAGACAGGAGAGGTCTGCTATGTCATGTGGGTTAGCTCCCTGGAGGGGTATTGAATTTATGCTGCACTGGCTGCAGATAACTTCATAATGCTGCAACATAACCCCTTGTACAACCAGGGACCCCAGAGCATGTTTTCTTTTTTTTTTTTAAGATTTATTTATTTATATATATAAGACTGGGGTACAGGCCAGAGATGTAGGGGGTGAGAGGATTCAACAGAGACAGAGTGGGGAACAGAACAGGCAGACTGACTGAAATGCACTGCTGAGGGGAGCAGCGGGCTAGACAGGAGAGGTCTGCTGCGCCATGTGAGTAGCACCTTGGCTGGACAGGGATACAACTCATGCTGCAGAGGTTGTGGACAGCTTCATAGTTCTGTACTTAACCCCTTGCGCCACCAGGGAGGTCCAGTCCATGTTTTCTAAGTCTTAGCAAAATCAATTTTTGGGGTCTCAGTTTGTACATGACCCATCAACATCACACCATCTCCTGTGCAAAGCACACTTCTCAATGCTCACCATGCAAATTCTCAGAATGTCAATTTTAGATATTACTGAAAAAATGTCCATTGTGTCTACAAGAATTAGATGCATGTCTGCAACTATTAGAAGTAGCTGTGGATACAGAGAACTGGGTCTGATATTTTCCTTTGTGAGGTGACAGAGTGGAGAGAAAGCAAAAGGTTTTTGTGATGAAGACAGAAGAGAATCCTCCCATCTTTATCACAGAGTTCTCTTCAGAAGAGATTCCTCCTTCTCATCCCCACAAAAAAGGGAAAATCTGTGTCTTCTACCTGGGGTAGATCCAGGCTCTCCCTTCTCCTCAGGCTCCCCTGTGTAATACGGCAACTTAGTCGCTGAGTCTTCAGACAGGTTTCCTGGTGGGGGGAGAACATCACAGGCAGAAATCTTTTCCCATAGTAGGAGGCCCGGTGTCAAGGTTCAGAAGATATGGGGCTTCAGATTTGTAGGGAGAGGACTGGGAGCTCTTGCTTTGGGAGGAGGCTGAGAGGTTGAGTCTATAAATGTGAAGGGAACCCATGGTCAGCTCAGGAACAGTGGGGAGATCCTGGGACACACCTGGGCTGTCCAAAAGGTCCTTCTTTTCTGGCAGAGCATAGTTATCAATCTCCTGGTACAAGGCCTCATCTATGACATCTTCAAAAGGAAGTGAGGCTGCAGAAAATGGCACGACATCAGAGAAGAGTCCTGGAGACAGTCCCTATACAGCAGGCAAGGCACATGGTGCTCTCCCGTGCCAACCCCTGGGGGTTCCCTCTGGGCTTCCAGAGCCCCTTCCTGAGCTCTGTGGGACAGAGACAGCTCTCTTGACACTGATTGTGATCCTATACTCAATTCCCACTGACATTGCTTCCACAGTAAGTCATAATTTTTGAGAGGTTTAACATTCAACCAAGGATTCAGCTGTCTCGAATCTTGAAAGCTTCTGTAGAGAAGGTGCTTTTTGCCAGACTTGGTGGTGGACACAATACTGGAGCACATTCCTTGGTATCATAACTATCTCAACACCTTCCCACGACTTCCCTTTAGAATTCCCATCAGCCCACCTTGGTGCTCTGCTCTCCCTCTGTGAAGCTGAATCCCCAGGATGACCAGGACCAGGAAGAGAAGGGCCCCCAAGATGATGCAGAGGATCCCAGGCAGGGAGAAGATGCCCAGGCCTGGAGCTGAGTCTGATCTGCTGGCTGAGGACAGAAGAGGGTTGTGAGGTCAAGAGAGGGTTGTAGGTCCAGGAGAGCCCTTCCCCACCCACCCTTGTCTTGCTCATCCACTGAGTCCTCAACCATGAAGTTAGCACTCGGATACATGCCTGGGCCTGAACCCAAGATGTGTCCATATAGATCCTGCCCTGAGATGTGCCAGTTGTCTTCTGCATCTGTTTCTAATGGATTTTTATAAAGCGAAGTGGATGAAGTTTTGGGGCATTATGGCTGCCAGAGGTAACAGGACTGCAGTGCCTAAGCATAGGCCTTTCCTGCACTGATATGTCTAATTTTCCAGAATTATGTAGATGCCAGTATGCAGATCCCTGAAAATGAGGGTGTCTCCTCTATCTATGACTCAGAGAAGAAGAGCCACTTACTTCTGAGGGTCGGGGTTATTCTTGTCCTCTCACCTGGAGAGAAGGGGAGAGAGAAGTCAACTACTGAGCTGGGTGTGAAAGCCCAGGTCACACCTCCCACTCTGGCACCTTGTTCTCTCACAGCTTCCAAGACATCAGGCAAGAGGTGCCAGTTGCCAGGCCCAGGAAGAGCCAAGAAAAGAGCCTTGAATCTAGGAAGAGCCTCGAGATGCCAGCATATGTCCCCTCTTCCGCCCCCAACAGGGTCGCCCACTCACCCGAGCACCTCACTCCCGCATCCTCCTCATGCTTGCAGTCGCTCTGCCCCCAGGGAGCCGCAGGGCACTCCCACAGGGAGGACTCCCCGCCCCTGCACCGCACCTCGTCCAGCCAGATGCTGCCATTTCCAGGCCCAAAGGCCGCCGCCCGCGGGGCGTCCAGCGCCCAGCCACAGCCCAGCTGCCCGCACACCACGTGGGCCTCGGCCAGGCTCCAGGAGTCGTCGCACACCGTGCCCCACGCCCCCGCGTGCCACACCTCCACGCGGCCCGAGCACGCGCTGTCTCCTCCCCGCAGGCGCAGCTTCTCCCTGTCTGCAAGGCCAAGGGCCCCCTGTTAGGGCCCTGCTGGAGGAGGAGCCCCAGGGGCAACGGGGATCTGGGAGGGGCTGGTGTACCTGTGCAGGGGGCTGCAGATGGACAGCTCTTGGGCTTCCTTTCTGTGGAAACAAAGGGGGAGTGTTGGGTCAGCGACAGGAGGGGTGCTCTTGCCCCCCAAGAAGGTCTGGTACAAGTAGTGGTATCAAATTAATTTATCTTTGTCTTGTGTATCACTCTCCATGCTCCACAACTAACACACACACACACACAGATGCAGCTCTGATAGAGAAAAGACCCTGCACATCTGACCCACATCTGTGCTCCTGCTCTTAGCTCAATGCCTGGTGCCCCACAGGCCTTCATTCAACACGTGTGAGTGTAGAAACTTCTGTAAACACTGGGCAGAGGGGCTTGGTCAATCACGCTGAATGAATAGATGACTAAAATCTAGTGAAGTGTAGTTCCTTTATTATTTATGAGTAAACTATTATGGAAAATACAAAAAAATCATTTCAGCAGTCTGTTGTACTAAAAAGAAGATATTTATAAAATAACTCTAGAATCACAGAAATAATTCATGTTCAACACTCCACTTACACTTTTTTTAAAGAAAAATTACATAACATGGGGCCTCACTGGTGGGGCAAGGGTTAAGACACAACCTATGAATCTGTCCACAGCCACTGCAGCACCAGTTCGATTCCCGGCCAGCCAGGGAGCAACCCACATGGCACAGCAGACCTCTCCTGTCTTGCCCACTTCTCCCCTCAGCAGTGTAGTTCAGTCAATCTGCCTGTGCTGTTCCGCACTCTGTCTCTGGTGAATCCTCTCACCCCCCCACACCTCTGGCCTATACCCCAGCTCTTGTATGCATAAATAAATAAATCTTTTAAAGAAATTACATAACAGATCAGCCAAGAAAACTGGGATTCAGATCACTCTTAGAAGTGAGCAAAGCAAAAAGAAAGATCTGGAGACCCAAGGTCTCTGCCCTCTCAGCAGTGACAGTCAAGAGGATTAACCAATTCCTCCTTGACAGAACTGTTTCCTTGCAGCTGCCCATGAGAGGTTGGGAGGTGTCCGCTCTGTCTGCCTTCTGGGTCCCCTGCCTCGCTCCCCCTATCTTCCGTCTCCTCTTGCCATGACAGAATTTTCTCAAAACCCAGTATTACACTGGCAGGATAATCTTCCCACCTCCTCCTTGACAGGACTCTTTCTCATCCTTCCTCTCCATCAAAGCAGGACTTCTCCTCTGGCCCCATGTACACCCTCCACACATTTCCTAATCCTCATGGCAATGAAACTTCAGCCTAAGGAGAGTTTTCAACTAGGGATTTCCTGCTCCATGAAGTCAGAGATTATATATTCTCTCTTCTCTGTCCTCTGACCTGGAGTGTAATTTTGATTCTATAAGACAAGGTTTACTCTCTGTCGGCTGATGGATCAGGAGTCTGATGAGTACAGATGCATTTCCATGCAAAAATTCAGGAGCATATGAGACACAGAGCATGGGGACCTGGCCCACTTATTTCAAGGTGTTCAGCATAGCATTTAGCTAGTCCTCATTCACTAGCCATTCCTTAGATGTTGATCAGAGGATTATTCACACTCCCCACAAGTTCAATATAATCACCTGGTGTTTTTCACATGCACTGCTGTCAGCACAAGTTTCCTTATATTTTCCTCTAAAACAGGTTTGGAACATATGGATTAAATAATTATCCCACTTCATTTTAAAGACCTAACTTAAACTCATAAGCTGGATTTGAAAATAAACATCACTAGCGACAGCGTACAGGTGATGACCAATACATACAGCAGTCACCTGCACAAATGATAGAAGCTTCCTCTTCTGAAGAGCACGAACTGTATTTCCAAGGGTCAGAAGGGCATTGCCAGAGAGAGGTATCAGTTTTCCTACACCGGATTCCATCTACCCACCGGGGTCTAGACCCTTCCCTAGTAGCAACCAAAGAGTTGAGGGTCCCACTGTCCCCACAGTCAAGCAGTGAGCAGATCACGGACAAGGTCACGGCATCCATGGGGCTGCTGCACACACTGCCCCAGGTCCTGTTGTAGAAAACTTCCAGCCACCCAGCACAGTCCTGGTCCCTGCTCACCACCCTGAGGGCCAGGAACTCTGAAAGAGAAAGGGGGAGACAGGGCACCATGAGCACCCACTCAGCGCTCTGGGCCCTCAGCAGGGAAGAAATGCTAGATGCTGCTTCCTGACAAACTACAGAATCTTCTAAGCAGGTATGGTGATTAGGGTGGGGACAGATTACTCCACCAAAGATGTCTGCATCATCATTCCTGGAAATTGTGCATATCATCACCTAACATGTGCATATGTGACCTTGCACGAAAAGAGACTGTGCAGATGAACTAAGTGAAAACCTTAGAAGGTGAGATTAACCTGAACATTGAGGATTAACCAGGTGAGCCAAGTGTAATCCCATGTGGGACCCACTGTCTGTAAAAGTGCTGGATAGAGAGAGAGAGGTGATTATAGAGAATGGTGAGAGATGTGTAACACTGCTGCTCTGATGACCAAGGAAGGGGGCTCTGCTGTCTCTTTAAGACACTGTGCTCAGTGTCTCCCCCACACCCTCACACTCTAACCCCAGCCCCTGGACAATGTGCATTGCAGACCTGAGCAGATGACCCCGGCGTCCTCCTTGTGCCTGCAGTCATGGCGCCCCCAGCCCCGGGATGGGCACTTCCACATGCTGGACTCGTTTCCTGTGCACTGCAGCTCCTCCAGCCAGATGGGCCCTGATCCCTCCCCGAACTGAGCAGAGACCGTGGCATTGAGGGCCTCCCCACAGCCCAGCTGTCTGCACACCACGTGGGCATCACGCAGGTCCCAGCCATCATCACAGATGGTGCCCCAGGAGCCCTGGTGAAGGATCTCCACTCTGCCGGCGCAGGGATGGCCTCCGTCCACCAGGCGGAGCTGTGTGACGTCTGAGGAGGGAAAGTAGGTCAAGGGGGGTGTCTAACGTGCAAGGAGAAGCTTTCCTGGTCCTGGAAGGCCCTCACCTGAGCAGTTGGCTGTGCCCTCCTCTGAGGCTGCAGAGCCTGCTGGTGGAGACGAGGAGTGGGTGCACAGGGGCAGCACCTGGGTCTGATTTCCTGCAGAGCAGCAAGGTCAGAGGGTTAGTGGGTTTAAGAGCAGAAAATGAATTAAACTACATGATAACCTAGTGGAGAGATCTGAGACAAACATTCTAACAAAACACTCAAGGCATCATTATTTTACAGTTCACTTTCTCTGTGAAATTGTGCCCCAAAAAACCAATATTTCTGTTTTTAAGACAAATACTGAGAATTAATTTAGAATATTAGGAATATGGCAATAGTGTTGAAGGGTTGCAGAGCTTCCAGGACAGTGAGTATTTTGGAACCAATGCTCAGAGAGAAGCAAAGAACAGAGTTGAGCCTATTTCCCCTTGAGACCTGTGTCAATTCAACATTATAGATATATTATATAGACGTGACTGAAAACCTCAGCAGAGATTTGGAAGCAGGAGTAGTAAAGTGGGAGATCAGAGGAGAATATAAGGAATAGAGCACAGGAGGAAACACTAGAAAACATGAAAGGGGCACAAGAGATATGGTGAAAGGTTTAAGTCACATATTTATGAAGTTTTAGATCCTTAAATACACAAATGAAAGAAGGAAATGTGGAATTTAAAATCCATTATCTCAGTGAGACATTTCAACATCCTGGTGCTGTTTAAACACATCCACAAAATTATTTGCTAAGGTGTCCACTGAGCAGTGAAATTGTCTCCTCATTACCCTGCATCACACTGATCTTCATGACTTGCTTATAGGTAACATTATGCAGTGGAGGCAACACCGCTGATTCCCTGCACCAGAACAGGAAAATCGTGCAGGCTCCCCAGGCCCTCTGAGTGCACGTGCTTTAGGGACCTGCTGTGCTGAGCCTGTCTTGGGGAGAGGCCACAGGCAGGGGGTCTACCATCCTGTCATTGAGCATGCTGGTTCCCAGTTCAGGGAGCTCTGGCATGACTTCAGCCCAGATAACTTCAGCTATGTGAAACCACCAGAGAGAACTGCCACTGAGCTTCCCCAAATTCCTGACCCAGAAATCTCAGAAAAATAAAACGTTTTTTTTTTTCTGTTGCTAACTTTTTGGGGAAAACTGGTAGCATAGCAATAGCAGCCATGGCACTTATCAATTAAGCTTCTCCTACAGAGAATTTAAAATGTGTGTCTGCAGGACGTGTAATGGATGTTGAGAACATATTCACAGGAGCCACAACTTGATCCTTTGGGTCAAGGCAGTAGGAAGAAGTAAGAAGGGTTTATTACCACAAGGCTGATGGGCTAGGAGGAACTATGTTGAGGAATAAAGGAATAAAGAAAATGAGATTGGAAAAAATAAAACAAATGTAAATGGACTTAACTCTTCAATAAAAAGACACAGAGTCGCAGGCTGGATTAAGAAACAAAACCCAACCTTTTGCTGTCTCCAGGAAACACATTTAGCTACAAAAGATAAAAATAGACTCAAAGTTAAAGGATGGAAAACAATCCTACAAGCAAATGGACCAAAAAAGAAAGCAGGAACAGCTATACTTATTTCAGATAAAACAGATTTCAAACTCAAAAAGATAAAAAGAGACCCCAACGGTCACTACATTATGATCAAGCGGACAATACTTCAAGAAGAAATAACACTCATTAACACATATTCACTAATTAACACATATTCACTAAAAGAAGGAGCACCAAAATGTATCAGACAACTATTGTCATCTCTGAAAACAGACATCAGAGAAAACACATATGTAGTGGGAGACTTCAGCACACCACTATCAACAATGGATAGATCGATGAGACAAAAAATAAGTAAAGACACTAAAGCTCTAAATAAGGATCTAGAGTGCTTGGGCTTAACAGATATCTACAGAATACTAAACCCAAAAAAATCTGAGTACATATTTTTCTCAAGCACACACGGATCATTCTCCAGGATCGATCACATACTGGGACACAAGACAAACATCAACAGATACACCAAGATTGAAATCATACCAACCATCTTTTCTGACCGTGAAGGCATCAAACTAGAAATAAACCATAAAAAGAAGGCAAGGAACTATCCTACCTCATGGAGATTGAAAACCACACTACTGGAAGACCACTGGACTAATGAGGAAATCAAAGAAGAAATTAAAAAATTCTTTGAATTGAATGACAATGAGGACACCAATTTCCTAAATGTATGGGATGCAGCAAAAGCAGTAATAAGAGGAAAATATATAGCAATAGAGGCTCACATCAAGAAACAAGAAAGAACTCAAAGAAACAACCTAATCTCGAAGCTCAAAGATCTAGAATAAGAACAACAAAAAAACCCCAAAACCAGTAGAAGAAAAGAAATAATAAAAACCAAAGCACAAATAAATGAAATTGAAACTAAAAAAACAATCCAAAAGATCAATGAAACCAAGAGCTGGTTCTTCAAAAAAATCAATAAAATAGACAAACCCCCAGCCAGGCTCACAAAGGAAAAAAGGGAGAAAGCACAAATAAACAGGATCATAAATGAAAGAGGAGAAATTACAACGGACACAGCAGAAATCAAAAGAATAATCAGTAACTACTATGAACAGTTATATGGAAACAAGTTCAACAATCTAGAGGAGATGGACAAATTCCTACAACTCTACAATCACCCAAAGCTAGATAAAGAAGAAATAGAACACCTTAACAGACCAATTACAAGAAGCGAAATTGAAATGGTAATCAAAAACCTCCCCAAAAACAAAAGCCCAGGACCTGATGGATTTACAAATGAATTCCACCAAACATTCAGAGATGAATTAGTGCCTATCCTTCACAAACTCTTCCAAAAAATTGAGAAGGAAGGGACAATACCAAACACGTTCTATGAAGCCAACATTACATTAATACCAAAACCGAACAAGGACAACACAAAAAAGGAAAACTACAGGCTAATCTCCCTAATGAACACTGATGCAAAAATCCTCAATAAAATTTTAGCTATCAGAATCCAACAATGTATCCATAAGATAATTCACCACAACCAAGTAGGATTCATGCCAGGGACACAAGGATGGTTCAACATCCGAAAATCAATCAACGTTATCCAACACATCAACAAAAAGAAATACAAAAACCATATGATAATATCAATAGATGCTGAGAAAGCTTTCGACAAAGTGCAACACCCATTCATGATAAAAGCCCTTGAAATTCTTGGGATACAAGGAACATACCTCAACATCATAAGGGCCATATATGACAAGCCAACAGCCAGTATCGTTCTCAATGGTGAAAAGCTGAAAGCATTTCCATTAAGATATGGAACAAGACAAGGATGTCAACTCTCACCACTGCTTTTCAATATAATACTGGAAGTCCTAGCCAGAGCAATAAGACAAGAGAAAGACATACAAGGAATCCAAATAGGAAAAGAAGAAGTCAAACTATCACTATTTGCAGATGATATGATAATATACATAGAGAACCCCAAAAACTCCACAGAAAAACTAATTCAACTCATCAATCAATTCAGTAAAGTGGCAGGATACAAAATCAACACGCAAAAGTCAGTAGCCTTCCTATACACAAACAATAAATCCGAAGAAGAAGAAATCAAAAAAAACATCCCTTTTATTATTGAAACAAAAAAAATCAAATACTTGGGAATAAATCTAACAAAAGAGGTAAAGGACCTATACAAAGAAAACTATAAAACACTGTTAAAAGAAATAGAAGAAGACACAAAGAAATGGAAAGACATCCCCTGCTCATGGATTGGAAGAATAAACATTATTAAAATGGCCATCCTACCAAAATCAATATACAGATTCAATGCTATTCCAATCAAAATTTCAATGTCATTCTTCAAAGAAATAGAACAATTATTGATGAAATTCATATGGAATCACAAAAAACCCCGAATAGCCAAAGCTCTCCTGAAAAAAAAAGAAGGGAATGGAGGCATCACACCCCCAGACTTCAAACTGCATGGTATTGGAACAAGAACAGACATACAGACCAATGGAATCGAATAGAAAATCCTGAAATAAACCCACAGATTTATGGTCAATTAATCTTTGACAAAGGAGCAAAGAATATGCATTGGAGCAAAGAAAGTTTGTTCAATAAATGGTGCTGGGAAAACTGGGTCGCTACATGCAAAAGAATGAAGCTTGAACACTACCTCACACCATACACAAAAATCAACTCAAAATGGATTAAAGAACTAGACATAAGACCTGAAACCATAAAATACATAGAAGGAAATATAGGCAAAACACTACGTGATATGCACATCAAAGATATCTTTACAGACACATCACTCAAAGCAGTGATAGTGAAGGCAAAGATCAACAGCTGGGACTACATTAAATTAAAGAGCTTCTGCACAGCAAAAGAGACAATAACAAAAACAAAGAGAAACCCCACCGACTGGGAGAATATTTTTGCACACAACACTAATGATAAAGGACTGATCACAAAAATCTGCAAAGAGCTGATGAGACTCAGCAACAACAAAGAAAATAATCCAGTCAAAAAATGGGCAGAAGAGCTAAAAAGAAACTTCTCTGAAGAGGAAATGCAAATGGCCAACAGGCATATGAAAAAATATTCAACATCACTTGTCATCAGGGAAAAGCAAATCAAAACTACCATGAGATACCATCTTACACCAGTGAGAATGGCACATATTAAAAAAGCTAGCAACAACAAATGTTGGCGAGGATGTGGAGAAAAAGGAACTCTCCTGCACTGTTGGTGGGAGTGCAAACTGGTCCAACCACTATGGAGAGCTGTGTGGAGATTTCTGGACCTACTAAACATAGAGCTTCCATATGATCCAGCAATTCCACTCCTAGGTATTTACCCAAAGGACACAGAAATATCAATTCCAAAGAGCACCTGCACCCCTATGTTTATAGCAGCACTGTTTACAATAGCTAAGCTTTGGAAACAACCCAAATGCCCAAAAATAGATGACTGGATCAAGAAGATGTGGTACATATACACCATGGAATATTACTCAGCATTCAAAAAAGATAAACACATGCAATTTGCAGCAACATGGATGGCGCTGGAAGGGATCATGCTCAGCAAAATAAGCCAGAAAGAAAAAGAAAAATACCGGATGGTCTGACTCATAGCAGGAATCTAGAAAACTTAAATAAGGGACCGGGAAAATGAATAACTATAAGAAAGTGAAAATCAAAATCAACAAAAAAATATGAACCAGAGACACTCTATGGGGGGTGGGAGGCAGGGAGGGGAGGGATTGGGGTCAAAATAAGGGGGTTGCAATTGTATGGGGAATATAAAAATAAAATTTATTTTTAAAAAATAAAAAATGAAAATGAGGATTATAACAAAAAAAAATGTACTTCGCATACAATGAAACACCAGCATTAGGAGTACATGGGGTACATTTTGACCAATACTTGCATCTACATAACCCACTCTTCACTCATGAACCAGTTTTCCCACACTCCCTGCTCTTGTTAGGGGGAAAGGAAGTCCTGAGCTAATTCCATACAGACTTTGTGGACCCCACCCCCACTCCAGACCAAAGCCATCAGGACATTGGGAAAGACAATCCCATCACCACCAAAGGGAAGGTGGCTGGGACCTGAGGGTGGGGTTAAGCAGCCAGGTTTGGTATAAAACCAGACAACGTGGGCCTTGGGGGCTCTTGTCTCTTGGCTTCACGGCTTTTGGCTCACTGCCAGCTCTCAGCGTGCCATTTGGGATTCCAGATTGTCGGAACGGGTGGGACTCATTTAAGACTTTATCTCCCACTTTCCTCCCTGAGTTGTACATTTCCTCATTTCCCCTGCCCTTGTGAATAAATCTTTTATTAACCTTTCGTGTGTGCCTGCAGTGGAGTATTAAGTCCCTTTTAAACATGTGGGTGAGGACCCACAGTCAGGCAACGCGTTTTATATCGGGGCTGCCCTGTAACACTCTGAGGGACCCGAGCACCCTGAGTGCAGCTAGTCCCTCTCTCACCTGAGCAGATCACAGAGGCTGTGTTTCCAGTCCTGCAGTCAGGAGCACCCAGGGCAGTCACCGGGCAGTTCCACAAGGAGGACTCAGCCCCTGAGCAGTGAAATCGGCCCCTCCAGACCTGGTCAGCTCCTCCCCTAGAGCGTGCTCCTTCAGGGATGGACAGGGCCACTCCACAGCCAAGCTGACGACACACAACATGGGCATTGGCCAGACTCCAGTGGGAGGCACAGAGCATGCTCCAGTGCCCTGAAATACTCATCTCCACCTGTCCCTCACACTGAGAGCTGCCGTCACTCCTGAGCCGGACTTCGGTATATGCTGGGAGGAGAAGACAAGGCTTCAGCCAAAAGTCATGTGTTTCTTACCCAACATAGTTGGCAGGGAGGGTGAATCCTGCTCCTGTCTCACCTGAGCAGACAACACGAACAGCCCCGCGGTGGTGGCAGGTGCCTCCAGGACAGGGCACCCTGGGGCACAGCTGGAGCAAAGGCTCCTGCCCCTCACACCGGAACTCCTCAGCAAAGACCCGTCCACCTGACTCTCTGAAGGGCACACCCCTCAGCACAGACGCAACCTTGCCGCACCCCAGCTCTGCACAGATGACCTGAGCAGTGAGGGATGTGAAGTTCCCATAAGACACTGGAGTCCAGTCTCTGGAATGCACTTCCACTCGCCCTGAGCAGGGCCCAACACCTCCAGCCAGACGAACAAATCCTAGAGAAAAGAAAAGTGAGTGAGTGTTCATGACCCATAGTTTCACCACCAAATCACACGTGCACCAGCACATAGACCCTTGTCTCTTCCCTCCCCTGTTTTTACCTCTCTCTCCCCCTCCCCTGCTGTGGCCTCAGATCTATGGTCAGTTTTCAAGTTTCCTCATTTCTGTTACCCTTTCTACACTTTCTGTATATTCCATATGTAAGTGAAGCCATCAGATATATATCTTTTTTCTTCTGAATTATTTCCCTTAGCCGAATCCCTTCCAGCTCCATCCATGCTGCAGTAAATAGCATGGGTTTCATAGGAACATTTTACTATGTGGGCAAGACTGGTATTATTAGTGAGAAGTAGCATTTTAATATTCTAATAATTCCAACAATGTTCATCCAAGGTAAATAGAATTTTTTCACTACATAAAAACACCCAATACTTTGGGTGTCATTTGTGTAGTTATTGGAATGTACATGCAGTTTCCACACAACTGAGATCCAGGGAAGAACCTGGCTGACCTGGACCTCCTCCCTCAGCTCCTGACAGGCCCCTCTGAAGAGAGTAAGTGAAATGTCAGGGTGAAGATTGGGCTCTCACTGACAGCGCCTGTCCAGCTCCTTGTCTATTTACTGGATATCATTGCCACTGATCTGACCTTTAAATGAAAGGTCAGGATAAGGTTCTAAAAATCTGGCTAATGGGCCTCCCCGGTGGCGCAGCGGTTGAGCGCTGGGTTGCGAAGCTGCCCACGGCCTCTGCGGCGCTGGCTCGATCCCTGGCTGCTCCCCTGCCACCGGAGGAGGGTCCCACATGGCGCGCAGACCTCTCCTGCCGCCCGCTGCTCCCCTCAGCAGTGTACTTCGGTCCTTCTGCCTGCTCTGCTCCCCGCTCTGGCTCTGGTGAATTCTCTCACCCTCCCGTGTTCTGACTGTATCCAGTGCATGTATAAACAAAACAAACAAACAGACAAATAAATAAATAAATAAAAGCATGCCTCTATAAAAAAAAATAAAAATAAAAAATAAAAATCTGGCTAAGTATGTGAAATGGCAGGGGGAAAAAAAGTTTTACCAAGGGCCACTGAGGTTGGAATTAATCCATTTAACTTAACACCACACAATCCCAAAGAACAAACATAAGGAAAACTGAAGGTAACAAAGCCCCCTTATATTTACAATGTGCACTGTAGAGAACTGGACTCATTCTGGGTCATAAATTTGAAGATATGCAGACACCCTGGTACCTCAGTCAGAAGGATCAGAGGCACCCAGACCCACACCAAACAAAGTATGGCACTTTTATTGATAAATATCATTGTATTTACAAAAGAGACATTAACCAAAACAAAGAGACACACCACTGATTGGGAAAAACTCTTTGCACTCCATATAACTAACAAGGGACTGATTACAAAGATATACAAACAACTCGCACAACTCGACAAAAACAAAGTAAAACTCCAGACGAGAAATAGGCAGAAGAACTTAAAAGACACTTCTCCTGGAAATGCAAAGGGCCAACAGGCATATGGAAAAATGTTCAACATCCCATATCATCAGGGAAATGCAAATTAAAACCACATTGATCAAAAAACAAGCAACAACAAATGTTGGTGGACGATGTGGTGAAAAAGGAACTCTCCTGCATTGCTGGTGGGAGTGCAAACTGGTCCAACTACTATGGAAACTGTCTGGAGGTTCCTCAGTCTACTAAAAATGGAGCTACCATATCACCCGGCAATTCCACTCCTAACGACACAAAAACATTGATTCAAAAGAATACCTGTACCCCTATGTTTATGGCAGCACTATTGACAATAGGTAAAACCTGGAAACAATCCAAATGCCCAAAAATAGATGACAGGATCAAGAAGATGTGGTATATATACACAACGGAATATTGTTCAGCAATCAAAAAAGATAAACTCCTGCCATTCACAGCAACGTGGATGGAGCTAGAAGGAATTATGATCAGTGAAATAAGCCAGAAGGAAAAAGAAAAATATCACATGGTTTCACTTATAGCAGGAATATAGGGGAACCAAATAAGACATCAGTGTAAAAAAATAATAACAGTACAAAACACAACAAAGCAAAAACAAGCACTTATAAATCAGAGACATCCTGCAGGGGAGGAGGAAGGAGAGCGATCAGAGGAAGGGAGGGAGGAGCACAAGGGACTGAGGTGATGGTGCACGGGTGCATTGATGAAGGAAACTCTATAGGGACTACACCTGAGGAGGTAAGGGGAAGCAAATATTGTTTAAAAATGAACAATGATAAAAAAAACAATTAAAAAAATAGAAAGTATATAATCTAAAAAAAAAGTAAATGGTATCACTAATAAGACAGTAGAGCAAATAAAATAGAATAAAAATACTCAGTTAAAAATTAAAATAGCCCCCCCCCCCCAGTGGCACAGGCAGTTGAGCACTGCCCTGTGAAGCTGTCTGCAGCCTTGCTGTGCCGGTTTGATCCCGGCTGGCCGGCGAGGATCCCACATGGCATGGCTGACCTCTCCTGTCTCGCCCGCTGCTCCCCTAAGCAGTGTATTTCGTCAGTCTGCCTGTTCTGTTTCCCACTCTGTCTCTAATGAATCCTCTCACCCTCCTGCGCATCTGGCCTGTACCCCAGTTCTTGTATAAAATAAATAAATATTTTTTAAAAAAATTAAAATAGAGGGGCCTCCCTGGTGGCACAGGCGGTTGAGCGCAGTGCTGTGAAGCTGCCCACAGCCTTTGCAGTGCCAGTTCAATCCCCAGCGGCCTCGGAGCAACCCAGACCTCTCCTGCCTCGCCCACTGCTCCCCTCAGCAGTGTATTTCAGTCAGTCTGCCTGTTCTGTTCCCCACTCTGTCTCTGGTGAATCCTCTCACCCTCCTGCGCATCTGACCTGTACCCAGCCTCTTATATAAATAAAATAAATCTTTAAAAAATTAAAATAGAAACAAAGCATAGACAAATGGGAAACTAATATACTTAACCCCAAACTTATCAATAATTACATTAAATGTATGTAGCCCTAAAGGATTTCACTCTCTTGGCGTCCCACCTGCTTGGTTGGGCCTGCTCCCTTTGTGCTGCCACCAATGTGGCCCCTTTATGGCATGTGGTGACTGTCTCTCTGGGACCTGTGTGTATACTAAACTGTTTTCTCCTGTGTCCTCTCTTGTGACTATCTCATGAAAGGTATAAAACAACTAACATGATACCGCTGATTTCATACTGATGTAACTAGCAGGTGTACCTGTACAAAACTTTCCCCTCGTTTCCCTGCCTCTTATGACACACCATAGAGACCTGAAGGGCTGTGACCTGTGTGTCTGGAGCGTTTCCTGTATGGCCACGCATGCTCTTACACACCCTTGAGCACCTCATGCTCTGCGAGTCTCATGACTGAGTCTTCCCCCAGTGCACTCTAGTCTGTCCCTATATTTTCAGTTATTCTGGCAATGAGATTGAGGCTTTTCCTGCTGAGGATTCCCTGCCAAACCAAACAAGTCTTACCTGAGCAAACTGCTCCAGCATAGACGTAATGGGAAATTTTCTGACGATAATCTTGAAACTTAGAATGAGAACAGTCATTGAGAGTTCGCTCTGTCCCTGAGCAGTGGAGATAGCCAAGCCAAACCAGTCCAACATCTGGACCAAAAGGAGCCCCTTTAAGAGCACTAATAGCAGCTCCACATTCCAGCTGCCTGCAAACCACAGTGGCTTCCTCCAAGCGCCAGAACTTATCAAACAATGTGCTCCATATTCCTTGGTACTTCATTTCCACTCTCCCCTCACAGGGGTGGCCTCCATTCACCAACCTCAGCTCCAGAGCTGCAAAAGAGACACAGACACAGAACACAGGTCACAGAGGAGATTCTAGAAGACCATGCAGTGGTGTGCTGCAAAGTATTAGAGATAAGCTCTCTGAGGTTAAAAAAAAAAACTGATAATAGTAATCCCTCATGTATCGTGTGTGTTGATCTGTGGTATAAATATTCCCACCATGGTCCATTTTAAGCTGCCAGTGTGGCACCACTGAGCATCGAATTGGGGAAAGAGGCACAAGATTATTTTTCACGAACCACTGAGGACAGGCTTTCAGAAGACTCTGGATGTTGCTTTCCCAGTTCACATGCCTGCAAGTGGTAGGGGCCCAGTTTCTCCAACTGTTACATCTCATGGACAAGATAGAATCTTCCCTCTCCTTCAGAACAGAGGACAGCAGTAACAGCTCCTAAAATATCCTACTGACTCCTGCATCCTGAGATTCACTTTTTCTGAGTAATAGTCACACACACTTGGATGTAGGCTGAACCTAACAACCTAGTAACATGCATCTAACAAACAGAATTTGGCAAAAGGGGTGAGATGTCCCTTAAGAGATCAAATTTCAAGAAGACTCTGGTTTCTCATATGTTGACTTATCTTGTGTTCTTCCTCTTGCTCTGATGGAGTAGCTGTATATGGAGAGACTCTCATGACAAGGAGCTGGAGGATTCCTCTAGCCGATAGCCAGCAGGGCCTGAAGTTCTCAGCTAAGCAGCCCACCCAGGTTTGAATGCTGATGATCACCAGGTGGTGAAATCCCTAAAGTCTAACATCCCCCAAATCACAATCCCCAAAGATCAAAAGTTTGAATGTTGAAAGGAGCAATGAATATGCACTGGAACAAAGAAAGTTTGTTCAATAAACGGTGCTGGGAAAACTGGGTCACTACATGCAAAAGAATGAAGCTTGACTACAACCTCACACCATGCACAAAAACCAATTCAAAATGAATTAAAGAACTAGACATAAGACCTGAAACCATAAAACATATAGAAGTAAATACAGGAAAACACTACATGACCTGCTCCTCAAAGACATCTTTACAGACACATCACCCAAAGCAGTGATAGTGAAGGCAAAGATAAACAGCTGGGACTACATCAAATTAAAGAGCTTCTGCACAGCAAAAGAGACAATAACAAAAACAAAGAGAAGCCCCACTGGCTGGGAGAAAATTTTTGCACATGACACTAATGATAAAGGACTGATCACAAAAATCTGCAAAGAGCTGATGAGACTCAACAGAAACAAAGAAAATAATTCAGTCAAAAAATGGGCAGAAGAGCTAAAAAGAAACTTCTCCAAAGAGGAAATGCAAATGGCCAAGAGGTATATGAAAAAATGTTCAGCATCACTTGTAATCAGGGAAATGCAAATCAAAACTACAATGAGATACCATCTCACACCAGTGAGAATAGCACATATTAAAAAAAACCAGCAACAACAAATGTTGGCGAGGATGTGGAGAAAAAGGATGCTGGCGGGAGTGCAAAATGGTCCAACCACTATAGAGAGCTTTGTGGAGATTTCTTAACCTACTAAAGATAGAGCTTCCATATGATCCAGCAACTCCACACATAGGTATTTACCCAAAGGACACAGAAACATTCATTCAAAAGGGCACCTGCACCCCTATGTTTATAGCAGCACTATTTACAATAGCTAAGCTGTGCCAACAACCCAAATGCCCAAAAATAGATGACTGGATCAAGAAGATGTGGTACATATACACAATGGAATATTACTCAACAATCAAAAAAGATAAACTCATGCAATTTGCAGCAACATGGATGGAGTTGGAAGGGATCATGCTCAGTGAAATAAGCCAGAAAGAAAAAGAAAAATACCAGATGGTCTCACGCAGGAATTTAGAAAACCTAAATAAGGGACCAGGAAAAAGACTAATTGCAATAAAGTAAAAATCAAAATCAACAAGCAACTGTAGACCAGAGACACACTACAGTGGGGGGGGCGGGGGGAGAAGAAGAGAGATTAGGGTCATAATAAGGGGGGGTGCAATTGTATGGGGAATATAACCTAAATGAAAATGCATACATTGTGCAAAAATGAAAAATGATGTAAGAATTATATAAAATAAAATAATTTATTAAAAAAATGTTTGAATGTTAAAATCCTAAAAGCAAAAAAATGAAAACACAGGCAAAAAATGCAAAGTACTCAATCATGTATAATTTCTGCTCCTTCACACATAGTGCCATGTTCGCCTTCAAAATATGCCTCAGAAAATAATAAAAAAAAATTCAACAAGCTTAGCAACCTTGTGAGCCAAAGACTGTGGCCCCCCAGTGTTACAAAACACATTAAATAGGGAACAATTCCTGGTTGTGATTTGACTGTCAAGGAAGATAGATTTCTTATATTCACTACCAAATTTAGAAGAAAAACTAGTAGCTACAATTAATAATACTGTGTTGAAGACTTGAAATTTGCTGAGAGTAAATCTTAAAAGCTCTCATTATACACCACACACAAAAGTAATGATGTGATGTGACAGACGTGTTCACTTACCTTATCATGGTAATCTTTATAATACATATTTATTTCATAAATTATATGTATTTCACATTGTCTACCTTATACACATAATATTATAAGCCAATTACATCTCTACAAAACTAGAAACAACTGAACAAAGGGTCAGAAGGGAAAAAAGACAAAACTAACAGGCAAATTATAGACCTGCAGTCTACAGCAGGGGAGGGGGAAGGAGGGAGTTAAAGCAGGGGAGGGAAGAACACAGCAGATTAGGGTGGTGGTTCACAGGTCAGGTAGTGTTGGGAAATTTACAGTGATTACACCTGAGGGTAAAAGTCAAATATTGTACAAAAATCAATACGGATATAAGAAAAATTTTAAAAATAATAAAAAATAATAAAAATAATTTTAAAAACAGCAATTTCATTTTTAGAATGCTACTAAGAGAAACAAGCATGACTGGTCCTCACACTTAAATATAAGGAAGTTCAGAGCAACATTTTTCATACTAGCAAAAAGGCTGAACACAGTTAAATGCTCAACACAGGTAACTGGATGCTTAGATTGCATTTTAGTCCTAGAAAGACACAGAGACAACTGAAACTGCCCATGGAATCCCTGTAGCACTCCATATTTTTATACTACAATAAAACATTTTACTGTATAAAGGAATAGTTAGTAATATAGAAATATGTTTAAAGTATATTGTTCATTTTCAAATACAGGTTACAAAGCAATATACATTGACTTACCCATTGTTAGAGGCTGTTTGGGGGTACAATGGAATTAACTGTGTTTGAAGGGATACTACTTTACCAATGCTCAGCATGGATTTCACAGTGGGGACCCCCGTAATGCGTGCCCAGCTTAGAAGTCATCAAACGCCCAGAAAGACCAGGGCTATTGTTTTACAAAGAACAAGGCCAATGTTGCATGAAGTAGAAGAAAAAAATACGCGGTAGGATAACACCAATTGGTGGTGTTTCAGGAGAAATGAAAAGAACACGCACTTTGGCCAAAAGCTCTTCTTAAGAAACTGCTGAGGAGATTTCCCAGCTGTCTCTCCTCTTCATGGGACCAATATCCAGCTCTGGGGAAAGGCAGAGAAAAGATGTGGGGGGTGGGGAGACCCAAAGTTGGGGGGGACAAGCAAAACAGTGTGGGGGAGGACTGTGGGTGCTTTGGTGGTGGGAGAGCTACGGGGACCACACCTGAGGGGAGAAGTCCTGTACTGTCGTAATATTAACAAAGATGTAAAACAATGGTACCTCATTAATTAGAAAAAAAAAATCTCAGAGGTTCAAGAAAAGAGAAGATTCTTCACAAGCACGTGGCCAGCACTCCAGGAGCAGGAACTTGGCGGGAAGAAGTTTCCCCAGGGGAGTTACAGGACTGAGAGACTGCACTACAGGTGACCCATGGCCACTGAGAGGGAGCTGGAGCTTAGACCAGTACTCAGCTTAGTACCAGCCTCAGCTTAGTACCAGCCTCAGCTTAGTACCAGCCTCAGCTTAGACCAGTACTCAAATCGCAACCATCTGCAGGCTGAAGGCAGGATTGTCTGCTGCCCCATCCCTGATGCCTGCAGTCCTGAGTCAAAGGCTTTGGGGACAGCAGCCTGCAGGGCCGCACAGAATGGCGCATGAGAGAAAATGTGTCCCAGAATTAATGACCAATCCTAGAGATAAGACTGGGACCAGCCAAGATCCCAGTAAGTCAAGAAATCCACTGACTGGGGCAGGACTTGAGAAATGACCACGGAAGCTGTCCATCATTAGTTCATCTCTGTGCCTGTGGACTCTGCCCTGAGCTAGACACCTGGTAGAGCAGGTGAGGGAGGAGGCAGGTCTCTCATAGAGCCCAGAGCTGGGTGAACGCCAGAGTCAAGCAGAGGCAACAGTGGGGTGAAGGAGAGGGGCCAGACACAAGCAGGCAGGTGCAAGGTTATCTACGATCTGGCTCATACAGCTGACATGCCCCCAACCGTGTGGGCTGTGTGTTTCACAGGCCAACTGACTCCCAGCCCTGTTCCTCTTGCCTGGAGTTTTCGCATCCTCCTCACATACCCCTCACATCCATGACACACACAAGCCCAGAGCCCAAAGGAGCATCCATACATAACACAAGGAAATCCCACCAGCCCACCCCACCCTCCCCCCATACGCCCCTCCGCCCCGCCTCATGAAGCAGGCAAATGGAGTATATGAGGAGCAGCCCCAGACCCTGCTGAGATCAATCACTACTTCTTCCCAGATGCTCAAGGATTCTGGGGCTAAGCAAACACCCCCAAAACAAGGGAGACAATGGAGAGGACCCAAACTGACTCGCCTCAATCTGGAACAGAAATTTCTTTGCAAAATCTGTGGCTATGACCAGCTGACACCCCACAGCAGAACACTATTCACATTCACTGCTTTTGGTCAAAAGCAGATGGTCCACACTGAGGCTCTGACCCCTCACCTCCGGGGGCCCTGTCCCTGCCCAAGGTGTCCACTCACTCACTGTTGATCCCAGGAAAGAGGCAGCTCTCACCTTGAGCTCCCACCACAGCACTGAGGTGGAGAAAGCAGAGTCCCTGAAGAAAGAGATGTCCCAGCAATGCCATCCTGACTCCGTGTCAACAAGGTCACAGTCCAGCTGTGAATTAACCCTGCGAACAGGCAGCAGGAGACTGGCGAGGGCCTTCAGCAATGGGAGGGGACTGCACACACCCCTTGACATCGTCCCCACGAGAGCCAATAGAGACTCCTTTTACCATTTCAGATGCTATCGGACACTCATCTGCCACTTTCTGAAGCTCAAACACCAATTAGATTTTGAATCTTCAAATATCTCCTTATATGAGCCACAAGGCCAATGACAACATCGTATTTCCTTAGGTCTCTAAGAACTGGACCCGCATGCGGGGGGCTGGGGTAGAAAAGTCCCATCAAAAAGCACGAGTGGCTTTCTCTCCGCCAGTAGTCCTGGATGATCGCTTCAGACTGTGAGGTCTCTCAAGGTCAAGGTGTGGGGAACAGTTACCCTTTCGTGCTTGGGACCAAGCCTCTGGTGTAATGGGGCATGGTCCTTCCCTCTGATCAAGCTCGTGACCTTAGGGAAACACAAGAGACTTAAAATACAAGAGTAATGATCAGACCAGCAGAAAATGAGGACCAGCAGTATAGGAATTCCCAGGTGAATGTGGAGGTGCTGGGACCACAGAGAAAGGGGATGATTGGCCTTTCTCCCCTTCTCACAGTGATCTGTGACCAGAGGTTGCAGCACATCATTGCAAGGGGCTTTGACAGAAGCTAATTTTGTCCCATCAGTGATATTTCTTAGACCCTAAGATCACTCTGTGCAACCCACACATGTCACCTAGGGCTAAATTCTCCTCCCCCAGCATGAGGAGGGCCTACAGTCGGCAGGGTATTTACAGACCTGATCTCCTCCTGTCTGTGCAGTGCCCAGGGCCAGCAGTCCTGCCCCAACAGCCAAGTTGGTTTTCAGGTGTCAGAGAGCACATGCCTCCTCCCCCTACCCCATACCCACCTCTTCATCCCAGACCTGGCCACCCCTCCCCTTCCCTTTTGCTCCAGCCACTGGCTAAACCACACATCCATTATTTTCCTGCCTCCACCATCCCACCTTTAGGGCATCTCTCTTAATTAACAGCTCAGTGTAGCAGGAAGCTTAACTCCCAACTCATCTTACCCTTGTTATCCCTAACACACATACACAGTCTCTACATTTTGAATGGTTTTGCTGGAAATCACAGCAAAGAAAGAAACAAGGGGAGCCAGAAATAACAAAGTGCTCATAAGTGTGAGTGCTCACTGCAATAAAGCTTGTGATTTGCAAAGCAAAGCACATAACACACCATTCACTAGTATTTACTAAGCATCTGCTTCACCACATTGCACACAAGTGCTGTGCCATGGGCTGGGAATAAATCAGTGCACAAGACAGACTGCCTCTGGACTGCCAGGGGTTGCAGTCCAACTGGTGGTAGAAGTCAACATGCAATAAAAATACATGCAATATATTGTAATAAATATATTACATATATATATGTAATTGTTTAACAGCATATATGGAAAAGCCATGAAGAAAAATAGTCAGCAATGAGAGGTTCCTATAAAGGGGTCCTGCAGAGAGCGAGAACCCAGTCAAGGGAAGTTTCTTTTTAGGGACTGTTTAAACTGACTCCTGATGAGTGAGTTGGCATTTACCAGGAAACTCAGGATTGTCAACTCACCCATGACTGCCCCCATCCCACCCAGGCCCTGTCATGCTAGTAACTACTCTTCCCTTTATGGATTTTTACAAATTGAAATTCTACTCCTCCAGCTCTCATATTTTGACCAGACCCATCCTTCAACTCATCAGTACGCCCTTGAATCTCTTGCTGTGCTTGATATGGAATGCACTAAGAATTGAAGAACGAGTTAAAGATTAAATTACCAAGAGATGGATTTGAGTTGCTTGGAGTGTGAGTGTCCAGCGTCTAAAGTCAGCCTTCAGAAGGTCCAGAGTTTGAAAGAATAAAGCTGATACCATAGAACTTGTTGGAAATGGTAGCAGAACAAGAGGGACAGGGAAGCTGCCATCTCTGTGGTCTAGGTAAATGCCACAGGAGTGGTTCCCCTTAATTGGCCCTACCAGCTGGTGTCTCCTTCTGAGTCCTGACTTCCCAGAACCCAGTACTTCAGCGCAGCAATGGAGGTGGAGATTCAGGAAGTCCGGACAGCAGGAGCCTAAACTAAGGGGAGAAGCACATGAAACTCTCAAGTTGCAACAGAAACTACAGAGCACAAAGACAGCTTAGACTGTCTTTCCAGAAAAAAAAAAAACCAACAAATGATAACCAGTGGAAGTCTACTGGATGGAAGTTAATGGCCAACACTTCCTCTTTGCAACTCCCAGACTAATAGCAGAATGACTAGGTAGAGCTGATTCTCCATTATTTCAATAGTCAAGAGGTTCACCATTGGGGAGGCTGTCCTTTCATCTACGTAGCAGCATCGAAGCATAAAGAGGAAGCTCTCTGGGGCCTCTCTGGTGGTACAAGGGATTAAGCACAGCACTATGAGGCAGTCTGCAGCCTCTGTAACATGAGTTCGATCCCAGCGGCCAGGGATGGCGCAGCAGACCTCTCCTGACTCACCCACAGCTCCCCTCAGCAGTGTTTTCAGTCAGTCTGCCTGCTCTGTTCCCCACTCTGTCTCTGGTGAATCCTCTCACCCTCCTGCACCTCTGGCTTGTACCCTTATTCTTTTATGCATAAATAAATAAATCTTTAAAAAAAAAAAAAAGAGGAAGCTCTCCATCAAGCAAGGTTTTGAACTCATGGCTTCTCTTCCCTTCATGGCATTTGGTGCTATTTCAAAACCACACAGAATCTTCATATCCGCCAACAGAGTGACCACACAGCCCTCTTACTCCAGCTCACACTCCATTGAAAAAGCTGTCCTCACTGTTACCCACAGAGTGTGTCTAGGAGCCATGACTTGTACCCATTCTGTCCAAAAAGTCCTCTTCACATTCAGACCAACGTTCCATCAGCTTGTGCCCCCTACGCAGGTGAGTAGCTACAAACCTGGGGCACCCCTCATGTTCTCTCTTGCTCCAGCATCTGAAAACGAAAGCAGGAGTCCAGGCTGTTCCCATGTAAATGTAACTGCATCTTCCCTTCCATCATTTTGGCTTACAGAGGTCTCTAAGAACACTGTGTCAGATGGTGGTAGAAACCCGGATTCCTGTTCAGTCAGTTCATGCCTCAAATGGAATAGAGGGATCCACACAGCTTCAGAGCATCCATTTCCAGAATGTGTGGCATTTCCTCCTTAGTTCCTGAAAAGACCTATCTGGAATGGGAGTGGAGAGGCAGGCCCTGAGCAGGAAGGAGACTGTGCTTGTTCTCTGGGAGCAGTAGGGTGAGTAAGTACTGGTGCCATTGCCAACGCTTTTGCAAGGGAGAAGACAATTTATTAAATCATCATCTGATAACTTCATTTTTCTCTGTGAAATGGAAGACATAGTTCCTTGAAGTAAGGAAAAGAGGTTGTGGCGGGAAGCTAAAGTTTGCATTGGTCCCTGATGGAAATCAGAGAAGAAATTGTGTTATTCCATTTATCTGTTAGAGCTCTGAGCTGTCAGTTAGAAACTCAGAAACCCACCTGTGAATGGACAAAACAAACACAAAGTTCAGTGGAAAGGCCTGGAGCAATTCTCTGAAGCAAGAAAGAGCCTCCAGAACCGGAAGCTGGGCCCCACACCAGGTCCAGAACTGGCCCCTCATCTGTCTTTGTTCTAGCCCTGCTCATTCTTTTCTTCTGCAGGCCAACTCTGTTCCCTTCTTACCAAGAGGCAAAGGGGCATGCCCTCTATCTGCAGTCAATACGAGAGGACATTGGCTGAGGTTCATCTGTGGGCCAGGAGCTGTGTGCAGAGGGGTGAGCTTTTCTCTCTGGCTCCCCCTGCATCAGGAGCTCAGGGTTTGAGGGCATTGGGAAAAGCGAAGAGGAGTAAGAAAAGACAGAGGGTGGACAAAGGCACACTATGCACAACAAAATACCAAAGTCAAGCGTTTGGACCCATGTTCAATCATGGGGGTTGGGGGTAACTTCCCACACAACACCAAGCAACATCAGCAGAGGTATAGTCTACTTCATCCACATCTACCTGGAGAGAGCATCAGATTCCACAGGCTAGGGGTTCAGCACACAACTGCCCCACAACACACACTTTAGAGGCACCAGTTGCAAGCCCAGGTGGTCACTTCCACTTCTGGCCAACTGGCTACAGAATGGAGGTTCCCACCAACTTCCCCTAAGCTTTGACTATTTGCTAGAGCAGTTCACAGAACTCAGAGAAACATTTTACTTACTAGATTGCCGGTTTATTATAATAGGATATAACCCAGGAATAGCCCAGTGAATAGATACACAGGGCATGGTTGGAGGAAGGGGTTGGGGCCTCCATGGCCATTCCAAGTGGGTCCTGCACCCAGCACTTCCACGAGTTCACCAACCCAGAAGCTCTCCAGGTATAGTCTTTGGGGATTTTATGGAATTTCATCACATAGGATGGCTGGTTAACTCACTGGCTCTTGGGAATTGTTTCAACCTTCAGACCCCTCCCTTAGCAATCAGCCCACCCATTAGGGCGTTTTCCTGTCACCTCATCAACATAACAAAAGATACTTTATCACTCTCAACATTTTAGAAAATGCCAACTGCTACGGTGGCTGTGGGAGCTATGAGCCTGAGCTGTGAATGAAGATCAAACTTGAAAAATAAATATATATTTTTACAAATATGAAAAGTATATTTCAGTTTAGTGAGTGACCAACTGTATCTCTTACAAATCACAACATTGCAGTAAGCTAATGTAAACCAAGAAAAGTTGAATGAATCCTGCTGAAGACCTTGTCACATAGAAGGAAGACTAGTCACCCATGGGAAATAAATGGGATGTTGAGCAAACAAAATTCATGAAAGCGTTTTCAGTTCACTCCTAGCTTACAAATTTTTCAGAGGGAAATTTTTCCCTGCCAGGCGGCAGTCCCAGCACTTCTCACTGGTAAATAACAGACCGTCCCAAGGCCACTGAAGTCACAAAGCACAGGCTCAGGGCAGGAGTGAGAAGGTGTCCAGGCAGAACCCAGCTTCGATTCAGTCCAGAGTGGCCCCTGGCCCAGAGCTGAATGTTATAGGACACCAATCACTCTGGCTGCCCCACAGCAAGACCTCACAGTGAGGAGAAGAGCCCATGGCCTAAGTGGACAAAGTCCATGCCATGCCATTCCCTCTACCCCATCTGGGTTCTCAGAACCAGGAATCCTGCTCAAATGGAGCCCAGCCCCATTCCAGCCCTACAATGGACTCTTCTTGTTACAAGGCACAGGGTCTAAATTGTCATGGGGTCAGAACCTCTCTCACCGGTTCTGGGTCTGATCACCCGCCACCACAAATGCAAACAATAGGGACTTTGGTGCAGCAAAAAAGACAATAAATTATTCTAACCAACCGGAAAACTAGCAGGAAGAGGGAGAAGGTCCAGTTACCAAGATGGTGCAAAGTGGAGCCGCTGATACAGGATCCAGCATGTTGCAACAAGAGTCTCATGTCTGGGGTCAGGGCCCATGGCACCCAGGGCAAAGCCTTACAGAGTCCAGCCACCGGTTCAGTAGCACTGCCGCGCCCTGGGGTGGGTGGGTCAAAGGTTCTAGGCACAGTTGGCTGGTGGGGTGGCTGGTTGGGATGGAAGGTCCATCCATTCTGTTGGAAAGATAGAGTTGACGACCAAGAGCTTGAGGCAATTAAACCCTCTAACTAAATATCCAGCTTCACCAGCTCATTAAGTATGTTTCCAATCATTTCATCCCAGCCACTCTTCCACCCTGAGGCTGTGGTCACGTTCAGTCACATCCAGCCCATCTGACAATTGCCATCGAAATTAATGAAAATAGTATTCTGGTTTAAAACTTAAATTGTTTCTTGAAAAATTGCGTTCAGTAGACATCTCAAATCCTTTTGAAAATTAGAACATACTAAGAGAGAGTGTCCTTAAAGGTAACAATTTATCAATATTATCAGAGAAGAAAAGTTTGGGAAGAATGAGGATTAAGGAGAAAGATGGACAAGAAAACTTCATATCCTCTTTTTCATATAACTAATATTACCATAAATAGCTTTTCACATAAATTTTGTCTACATTTCAGATTATTTACTTAAAATAGATACTTGTTAAAGGAATTATTGTTATTCTATTGCATAAAAGAAATTATTATTCAAATGGTGAAAATATTAATTTTTTTACCATATTGCCATGTAGTACCTGGAAATCTATTATTCTGTGACTTCCTTCAGCTTCTTAAAAGGCAAGAAAGGGAAAATAAACCTGTCTCTCTCCCAGCCCAGATCTAACTCACAATTCTCCAGGAGTGGCTAGAGCAGGAGTGTTTAAGGCAAAGGAGACTTGCATTGGTGACGGCACCCAACCCCTACCCTCTCCTGGGGCTCACTGCAGACACTAGGCTCAAGTAGACCTGGTGTCCAGATTTCTGAGTTCCAAATACTTTAATTATTAATTTTTACCAAGAAATATCAAGGTGAAACCGTAATCCACTCAGTATTTGGGTGGACCTGTCCAATCTGTGAAGTCACCAGCTCTAATGCTGCTTGTCTGAGATCAGTTCCAGGCTGCAAGTGTGCAGTTTATAGGGTCACCACAAGATGGCAGAGCTGAGAATGGCAAATTCTTAGCAGCTAAAGGAATCAAATATATTTTTTTAATTTTTTTTTTTTTTTACACTATTATTCATTTTTAAACAATAGTTGTTTCCCCCCACCCCCTCAGGTGTAGTCCCCATAGAATTTCCTTCCCCAATGCACCTGTGCACCATCACCTCAGTCCCCTGTGCTCCTCCCTCCCTCCCTCTGATCCCTCTTCCTCCTCCTCCCCTGCAGGATGTCTCTGATTTATAATTGTCCGTTTTTGCTTTGTTGTGTTTTGTACTGTTATTATTTTTTTACACTGATGTCTCATTTGGTTCCCAGATATTCCTGCTATAAGTGAAACCATGTGATATTTTTCTTTTTCCTTCTGGCTTATTTCCCTGAGCATAATTCCTTCTAGCTCCATCCATGTTGCTGTGAATGGCATGAGTTTATCTTTTTGGATTGCTGAATAATATTCCATTGTGTATATATGCCACAGCTTCTTGATCCAGTCATCTATATTTGGGCATTTGGGTTGTTTCCAGGTTTTACCTATTGTAATAGCGCTGCAATAAACATAGGGGTACAGAGGATATTTTGAATTAATGTTTTTGTGTCCGTTGGGTAGTTCCCTAGGAGTGGAATTGACAGGTCATATGGTAGCTCCACTTTTAGTAGACTGAGGAACCTCCAGACAGCTTTCCACAGTGGTTGGACCAGTTTGAACTCCCACCAGCAATGTAGGAGAGTTCCTTTTTCACCACATCCTCACCAACATTTTTTGTTGCTTATTTTTTTGGTATAAGGTGGTATCTCAATGTGGAACCAAATATATTTAAATTGCTTGCTTTTTAAAACAACAACAATTAATAATGATTTCATATATAAACATCCTAGAATGTTCTTTTGACCAAGATATCTTAACTTCATTGTTTTAACTATGAAATAAATTAATGAAGCTAGAAATACAGACACTAAAGAAATCAATTAGTTAGATGGAATAATATAATAATGATTGGTGATAGATGATTAGATAGAGAAATAGATAAGTATCCACAAACAGGAATAATAGCTATATATAGGACTTTGTAACATGCTAAATCCCTTTTCTTTTATTACACTTCATTTTACCTAAACTTTTCCTTTCAGTCAGTCAACAAATGATGCTTCAAGAAAGAAAGAGACTGTTATTACAGGAGATAAAGAAAAAGAAGTACTCAACTCTGTCCCCACAAAATAGTATTTGGGGAGCCCCAGGAAGAAAATAAATAACTTTGAAATTCTAGATTGTGTTTTGGGTCAGTTTAACCATTGCTACTTTATTCTGGTTTCCACTGACCACAGAATCTCCTAGATACTCCCCAAAAAAGTATCCCTGGAATAGGGGTAGTGAGGGAGAGTAGCTGTAAGGTGTTGCAGATAGGGCCCATGCCTAAAAATTCGACATTATCAGAGCATGTCTCCCCCACACACTCTTCACACCCTATCAGGCACAGTGCTCCCATAATGCACCTCTGCAATCTACCCAAAAACCACTGTGGCCCCTGGACCTGACTCTCAACATTTAAGCACACAGACACAGGAAGGAAACACTGACTCATACCCCCAGAGCCTTCACCAGAGGCAGAGACAGCTTGGGGCCCTAGCCAGGGGCCCTCCCCACCCCACAGAACCAGAAGTTCTCAGTGGGTCAAACCCTAGGCAACTATGAGTCAACCCACAGCCTTGTCACATTCCTGTCAGAAAGACCCACCTCCTGCAGATCAGCAGACAGGGGACCTCTATTCTTGCTTTGCCCATTCTTTCTCCTTTAGATTCAGATAAATTAAAAGGGAGAAAAAGCCATTGAACACTTGCATTTCTCACCCTAAATAGTCTAGTATTTACCTATCAATTTTCAAACAATTGCTTGTCATCTGTGTCTCCTTCTCTACCCATAATCTTAACATATTAATGATGATGACTGATTATAAGTATCAGAGCAAGAGTTGAACTCAGCCACTTAGAGTTGATGCTTATCCCCTCTGGGGTCCAGATGCACCATTTCTTACCACAGTTTTTGGACTCTTAACCATCCCCAGAAGCCATTTACCCAGAATATTGGCCATGTTGCTGAGTCCAGGCACCCCTACCCACAGGAGGGTGTTGGGTGCAGGTCACACATGGTCTCACCACAGATTTGTGATCTCAGAGATGGGGCACTGATATATCCCCACCTCTGCTGTGGGAGGTGATGAGCAGGAAGGGAGGAACTCAACTCAGATCTGGCAAGCAACACCCTAGATTTCAAGATTCCAGAGCTTTCGGTGCAAGGTCAATGTGGGCCAACTTGACCTTCAATAAAAGTCAACTTTCTGTTATCACCTAGGAAAATATGAGTGTACAATCACACCAAAGATATGAATGGGAGGGAAGTTTTATATTGAAGGGACACCCACCCAGCTGGGCCCCACAGTGAACCTGAGAGACTGGTGCCATGATCAGGACACCAGCCTGGTCTTGACTCACATACTGCTGTATGTGTGACCTTGAACAAGTTTCCCAAACTCTCTGTGCCTTGTTGCTTTTTCTATAACAAGAGAGTAGCAATCAGTCTGGATCATAGGGTTTGGAGGAGAATTAAATGAGCTGGCATTCGCAAGTGATATATGCACTAAGTGATGGTCATACACACAAGCAGTAGACAAATATCAATGGTATTAGGGCATCTTCTCCATCCTGTCCCAGAAATCACAGGGCACCAGAGTGTGAAATGAGGTTCTGTTACCTCTAGCTTCGCCTGGAACCTGTCAAAAGTCAATCCTGGAACC